TCTATCTATCTATCTATCTATCTATCTATCTATCTATCTATCTATCTAGAATTGTTGTTCCCAGGCATGGATCTGTTTTCTGTTTTTGTTTTGCACTTCCTGTTTTGTATTAACTCATACACAATTACCTGTTGTCTGGTTTTGCTGAAGCAATAAGCCAGACAATGCTCACTACAGCAATGTCTGTCAAAATGGCTGATTGTAAGCGTTCCAGAACCACATGCATCTAAAAGGCACACTGGCTAAAAAAGCAACTAATTTTGTCACTTTCATCCATCGTATAGCTTTTCTGGAAAGCCTGCTTTCCCCACCTCCTCTTCTGCTGACTCTTCTTGCGGGTGGTGTAAGATTTCTGTTCTCAACACTAGTACAAAGTCGCAACACAAGATGAAGGAAGGGCAGGCTCTCTTTGAATGTTAAAGTCAAAGTAGGTCCATCTTGCAGCTGCTTACCAGCAAAGACTGGCCTTGGCTGAGCACAAGGAATCCCTTCCTCATCCTGGATCTTGGCCTTTACATTCCTTTAATGTAGCTTTCCTTGACTGTAGGCAGCTTTGCCCCAAGATTTGCTACTAAGAGGGGTCCCAGAACCAAAGCTGGGGCCAGCTTCTCTAAATAGTGTTTGTGTTTCCTTCCTCTCTCCACCTCTCCATACCCTGGGGTCACAGGGGAAGTGGGAAAGGGTTAGGTCCTGGCGAAACTCTCAGTTACCCTAATCTAGGGCAGCTGGACTCTGGGGGCAGGTGAGCAGGTGGTAGTAACGCTCCTCATGAAGCTTGGACTTGCAAAGTGGTCCAAAGCGGGCTCCGTCTTTAGCATTTGCTGACAGTGTATGCCACTCTCCCGGCTAATTGTGGTGATGACAAGAAGCCCAAACTTCATTCCAGAGGTCAGGTACTCCAGGGTGAGGAGCCTGAGGAGACTTCTGTGGGCATCTGTGCAGGCACTGCAGGAGAACATCCAGGGCGTTCTAATGGGATCTTGGCTTGAATGGATGTGTGCCTGACAGACTCAGCCAGACACAGTGTCCTTCTCACTTGTGGAACACCCATGCTTTTTCTTCATTCTTTGCAGACTCTGGCTTAATTGATGAGTCCCACTTCAATCATGACCATTTCTTCTGGATCCTGCATTGCTTGTCCTCCCCCGCATACCCCCCCCAATTGCTATGATAAAATACTTAGCAAAAGTAACTTTAAAAAACACAGGGGTTAATTTTGGTTTACAGTGTGAGAGTCCATTCCATCATGGCAAGGAAGGTAAAGTATCAGGAGCTTGAGGAGGCTGGTCATACTGCGTAAGCCATGATAAAACAGGACAAGGTGACTCAGCTCCCTTTTTTCCTTTTTTATCAGCCCAGGACCCGCTCATGGATGGTGTGTCTTACATTTAGGGCGGGCTGTCTCACTTCAGTTAACCAAGTCTAGAAATTCCATCAGAGGCATACTAAGAAGTCTTCTAGAGCCCATCTAGTTGAAAGTCAGTATTATCCCATAATTACCATCCCAGGCCCTGATTCAGGGCTCAAATTATATTTCCTTTTTTTTTTTTTTTAAAAAAAAAAAACCAAACTTCCCTTTCCTTAAATCATGCCTAGTATTTTATAAAGAAGTTTTGCTGCATATAAAATTATGACCAATACAAATAACTTCCTGCTTTGAAACTTTTAGAAAATCCAAATTAAAGCTTTAACTCTTCCAGCATTCTTGAATCATGTACAGCTTAGGTGGCTCCTGATAAAGAGCTTCAGTGTCCCCAGCTTCTCCAGCACCAAGACAGTGGACTAAGATAGGGAATCCTTGGAGCTCAAATACCCAGGCTAAAGCTCCCTGGGCAATTGAAAGTGAAGCTGAGGTTGCAGCTAATGATTTAGAAGGAATTCTGCAAGATCTCAGAGCTGCGAGGAGTTTGTGACAGAACCTTCTTCGAGGTCTGTTATATGATGTTAAAATCGCCTTTCACCAAAATGGTGACTTTATAATCATGCACTTTCTAGGGGACTGTTACTACCTCTTCAGGACTACAAGATAACAGAAGTTCTCACAACAGCCAGGCAAGGCGAGGCATGTCTGTCATCCCAGCACCTAGGGACTGAAGAAAGAGGGTTGTGATTTCAAAGCCAGCCTAGGCATTCAGAGAGCTTGACCTGAAAAACAGGACTAGTTCTTGAAGCAGCCCCCAAAATTAAAAATGGTGTTACTATAGAATCTAGCAGTTGTTCTCCTGAGTGTAAATTCAAAGGGTTTGGAAGCAGGGACTCAAATAGACACACACCTGATGTTATTCATTGTGGCCAAAAGGCGGAAGCTGCTTATGTGTCCATCCCTGGGTGCCTGGATAAACAAATGAAGTGTCTCCATATTACAGAATATTACTGGGTAAAAGGGAAAGTATTTTCTAGCTACCACATGGATGATACAGAAGACATTGTGCTAAGCGAATTATTCCCAGCACAGGCTAGATAACTGCAGACCACACAGTCAAGGAAGCTGGTGTAGTTGAATTCAGAGAGGATGGTAGTGGCCAGCAGGAGGAAGGGAGAAAGGGAGAGTTTTTATTTGCATCATGAAAAGAGTTCTGGGTGGTAGGTGACTAGAGCACAGTAACATAAATGTCCTTGATGCCCTTGAACCACACTCCTAAAATGGTAAATTTTATTATATGTCTTTTACCATGGTTTTTAAACAGTGGCATGTAATAGAAAAAGTACCATCTATGTTGAGATTGAGACGTACATTTTTGTTTTGTTAGGAAAAGTTCATTGATTTGGGGGTGGTAGGAGCTGAGAGCTGGGTCGGCATTTAAGATCACTTACTGCTCCTGCACAGGGTTTGGTTCTTACTGCACATATGCGTAGGAACTACAGCTGCCTATAATTCCAGTTTTAAGGTACCCAACACTCTCTTAAGACTCCTGTGACTCCCTCACAGACATGGTTCACACTTATGCACACACACACACACACACACACACACACACACACACAATAAAGTGAACCTTTTTTTAAAAGAAAAGAACAATTTAAATAAAGCCACAGTATCTGGGAGAAGTTGAGGGAAATTAATACAAAACCACATTGTATAAAATTCTCCATGAACTAATAGACCAATAACAAAAAAAATTAAGTCATGATCAATGACTAGATAGTAACGAGAGGTTTGCTTGGTTTTGATTGAATTAAGGGGGAAAAGCCTCTAGATTTGGATAGGGTAGAGAGGAATCCTGGTCACTGTGGCAGGTAAGATGCATGAGAGAGACTTCCCACTTAATGTGATGTTTCTCTTAGTACTTCATGTGCTGATGAGAAGCAAATGCCCCCTCAGGAGCACTGGGGACTGGGGTGACCGTGTGACAGCTCAGACATGGAAATACTGTCAAGAGAGATAAATTCTAAATAATTATATCTGGTTCTCTTAATACATAAAAGGATCTTAATCTAGTTTAATTTTGTTTTTAATGTTTTGAAGCAGTTTTTGAAGCCTGGGTGTCTCTGCAAATAGGTGTCCAAATTTTTGCCCCATACAAGCCAGAAACCCTACCCAAAATTAGTGATCCATTCAATTGAATAAAGGCCATGGCACAGATTGAAGGAAAAGAAAAGGATCATCAGTTAAGTTACTAATGCAGAGAGAGAAGAGAGACTGGTGGTGGAAAAGAAAAAGCGAGAGAATATAATTTCACTTATTTTTAAATTAAAAATTAAAATCTTTATTTAGTCTTTATTTATGTTATTTATAAAATCTTTATTAAAATCTTTAAAAATTAATGAATGACTCAAACACAGATAAGTTAGAAAATAAAATTGCCATTATCACTCTAACCTCTATGACAGTATTGCTGTTAATTATTTGAGTTGTTTTTCCAGATCCTCTTCATGTGCATCAATATTAAAAATATATTTAATTAATTTATTTTAAATATATCCTTTGGAGCAAAGGAAGTAGCTCTCTGGTGGCGTGCTTGCCTAGCATGTATAAAGTTCTGGGTTTAATCACCAGCAAAATAAGTCATAATAAAATAAAATACTCCCCTTTTCTATGTTTGCATAAGTACTTACTTAAGTCATTGTGAATTTCCATCCTAGTATGACAAGAACCTAACTTGTTTAAACTGTGACTTGCAGACACATGCATTGTTTTTCCCTCTGCCAATCAGTTCCATGATGAACAGCCTACTACTTTGGTCTCTGCCCACTTATACGAGAAGTGGAGCTGATGGATCCAAGAGCGTTCCCTTTTGGCATTTAGCACTGCACTAACCAATTGGGCTAAGAATTGCATCTGCTGGAGATCCACATATAAATTCAGACAAATGAAGTGGCACTGAACCTTATCTCTTCTCCTACTTTATAGAAATACCAGCGAAGGCGGAAGTACAGCCTGTCTGCTGTGTTCCATTCAGCCACCATGTTGCAAGATGTTGGCGAGGCCATTCAGTTTGAGGTCAGCATTGGGAACTATGGCAACAAGTTTGATGCAACCTGTAAGCCTTTGGCATCAACGACTCAGTACAGCCGTGCAGTATTTGATGGTAAGAGTGGTGTTAAGTGTTCTCTCTTATTCATGTTACAGTGGGTACATGCATGTACAGATGGTACATAACAAGGAGTGTGCACTGTGTTTTCCTCTCTGGCGGTCACTATCCCCAGCATCTCATTAGTTGATGTGAGGAGAGGATTGGAGTTTAGATAACCCATGAGAGGAGCAAAATCTGTGCGCAGGTGAGATGGCGCGGTGGATAAGGAAACTGTCACCAAGCCAGACAACCTTAATTCAGTCCTCAGAAGCTAACTGGTGGGAGGAGAAACCCGTTTCCTATAACTTGTGCCCTAGTCATCCCATTGTGTCTGCATGCTAGCGCACAGGCACAGGAGGGGTGAAGGGTGGCCAGACCCAGATCCCATTCCTAGGAGCTAAAGCCCAGGTTCCCAAGCCTATGCTCAGCCAGGACACTAGGTCTCATAAAACCTCAAGATGGTGACCCCACTAAATAGCATACTCCCTAAAGCAGCTGTATCCCACCACGTGCAAATCTCCCTTAGCTTCAGTAGTTAACCATGGCAGTACTCTGGCTCAGACAGTGGACAAGCCAGGCTTCTGATTCTCACCCAGCCCCCTCACCTCATTCTCTTTTAAAAAGACTTTGTTGTTCTTTTTAATTATGTTTTTACGTATATGAGTCTGTGTACAGAAACAGTCCAACAGTATGGCTATACTTTTACCTAAATTTTTGTGCGAGCCGGTTTAAAACAGAAAATGGCCTAGAAAGCATTAAATATTTAGTCTTAATTGCAGAAAGCTTCCGGGGAATGCCAACCCTATGCAGGCAGCCGAGGTTTGCAAAGAACAGGGTGTGGGGTGGGGTTGCTCCTTTTCCAGCAAAAACAATAATTTGAAAGAAAAGTTTTCGCAGAGAAGCAGTGAATCTAACCTCCGGGGCTCTCTACGTTTATCGCAATGCGGTATGAGGTAACCGTTGTGGATGCTCAGCTGTGTGGTCCTGAGCCACGGAGAAGATTCTGAGACTGTTGTCCCCAATTTGCTGTTTTAGAAAGATTCACAAACAGGTGAATGAACCATCTGTTTCTCTGTTGCTTAACTGGATAAAGTTGATGAGCCAGGATAATGCCCGGGTGTGGCTCGGCAGTGGAGAACTGTCCTAGCTTATATAAGGCCCTAGGTTTACTCTCCAGCTCCCCAGACAGTGAACAAACCTTAGCCAGGACCATTGCCTAAGCATGCGGATCAACGAGCAGCTCTGGCAGCAGTCTGTGTAATAAATATGTTGCCCATTTCCAGTGTCCATATTTACTGACCCCTGACCCTCCATACCAGGTAACTACTATTACTACTTACCATGGGCCCACACAAAGCCGGTGGTCACCCTGACGTCCTACTGGGAGGATATTAGTCATCGCCTGGATGCAGTGAACACTCTGCTAGTCATGGCAGAGCGGCTGGTGAGTTATCGTTCCTGAATTTCCGATGAGTGTGCAGACTTGGCAACTGTAGCCCGGGATCTTAAAATACAATGGTCAACCAGGTAAGAGCAATTTACTAAGAGCAGAGGAAAACAGTTGGGAGCTGGTACAAGTTCATTGGCACTGGTGCACAGGCTCTTTCCCCTGCTTGTTCTACCTTTTACCTCAATGCATCCCATAGACACAGCTCACCAGGACATCCACCCTCCAGCCTAAGAGGAGGGGAGAAGGTGACAAAGGCTTTCTTACTGAGAAAGTCAGGAGAATGCAAAAGGCTGGAGGGCCAGAAAGGGAGCGCACGCAATGGCGTCTGCATGCTTTGTTCCAATAGCCGTGTGCAACCTGTAGGATTTTGCTCCTACTACAGAGATGATTTCTGCTAAGGGCCAAGCCTGCGAGTCTCTGCTCTTGCTTCTGACTGGAGGAACATTTCCTTCTCTGAAGACTGGAGGAAGGGGTTGCTCTGGTAGAGCAGCGTAAGAATAGTATCTGTATGTACCTTTTTGACATTGGTAGACTACAATAGTGAGGAGGAAGGTGGCACATTTGAGGCATTTCTTGCTCAAGTTAAAGATACTAAGTTACTTCTGTTGGGTATGGATAAAGTCCATTCCACATTAGTGTTTTTATTTCAATGTTATGTTAATTTAGAATGGGGAAAAGTCCATTTGGATATAATCAAAACATATCATATGTGTGGAAATATGTTACTCTCATTAATATGTGATTAAAATATATGAATAACAAATATTTTTCAGTTTATATTAATATCATTTTTATAAGTGCTAGACCAAGATATATGAGAAAATATCTGCTAAAAAAAAACTCCATAGCAAAATTAAAATATCGCTTTTTGTTATAAAGGCAACATAATCCTTTTTCTAACGCATTTCTATGCCACCAAAATGGTGCGTGTGAGTCCTGGCTGATGCTCTCAAGAGTAGCAACAATGCTGGAAAAGAGGCGAGTGCTGGGTCCGTACTACGCTCCAAAGCCATAGTCTGGTTTCTGTCAATGATGAGGAAACACGGTTACACTGAGGAACTTGAAATCATTGAAGAGCCCAGAGCTGGGAAGATGGCCCTGAACCTCACAGGCAGTGAGCAATCCTGAGGGCAGAGTGATCAGCCCCAGATTTAACATGCAGCCCAGAGATCTAGCACTGAAGCAGAAGAATTTGTCCCCATCCCATCACTCTGGTTTGTTTTCGCTGACAACCCCAGAGAGCATCTCAGACCATGGAGAAGCAAACATAGTCATACATAAAACCTCTCCGTGGGGGAGGGGCCGGGGAGGGGAGAGCACCAATGTAGAAGGATAATTGAATTTGAGCATAATTTCCCAATTAGGAAAGATGAAGTCGAAGGCAATGGACAGATAGTCCTGTGACTAAGAGCTTGCTGCTCTTCCAGAGGACCTGGGTTCAGTTCCTAGCACCCACATGGCAGCTTACAACCACCTGGAACTCCCATCCCAAGGGATCTAAGGTTGTTTTCTGTCCTTCAAGGTCGCCAGGCACATGTGAGGTCATTAGACATACATGTAGGCAAAGCACTCATGCACATAAAATAAACATACAATTTCTAAAAAATAAAAACAAATAAAGTTGAAATTAAAATGTAACATTTTTATTAGTTTCCAATACCTTTCCTCAAGGAAACTGGTGGAGAACTGACCATACCTAATTAAGTTTGAGATATTCTTCAGGGCGTTTTGCCCTCATTCTTTTTATTATCTCTTCCGACTGACCAAGCTGTCTGTGCTCCAGGCTAATCTTGACAGAGAGAGTGGCTTTCCATGACCAGGACTTTGGCTAGGCATAGAGGGCACTCCCTTCCCCTCTCTGTTGGCAGATGCTCAACATTAGCATATCAGTATGTTCTGGGCTTGGCTTGTACTTTCCCAACCCCAGCACTGAAATAACCATTTTTCTAAGATGCTGTACTTGCTTTAATGGGAAGTGACATTTACAAAACGCAATCTGGGTAGTAGAATGCGCACAGCTACTGGTATATTTTTCCCTTTAAGCCTCTTCAGCCAAGAAATTCACCACACACATGTGCATACATACACACAGATATATGTGTATTTATTTCTATAACTGTTAAAATATTGAAGGCCAGAATGGTGCCTCCAATTTTAATCTACCACCAAGGACTTATCTTCCCTACAGTGAGACTCTAAGTTCTGCCATTCCAATTACAATCATTCATTTTTTTTTTTTTTCAGTTTTAAACTCCATACATCAACCATCATGACAGTAAGCCCACGGATTCGAGTTTAATACAGTTTGGATTGCCTTGGTTTTGTAACTCAGGATAGGTAGTCAAAATGCTATTCTCATAGCTTATGTTAGTTAGTTCAACCAACCGTGTGAAGTATAGCTACGTCCATACTGTTCCTATGTATGTCCTTTATAGGGTTCCCTTGCCTATTCCTGATGGCTTCTTTCTGTTTATTTTTGGAGTACATAAAATACTTACATGGTTTCAAAGGTCAAAATACATGATAAGATTTTTCTATTGCTTAAACTTATTAGCGTCAATTGCATTTTGAATAAAAGCAAACAACAGAAAGCTACGGCAAATATTACTAAGTGCGAACCAGAGCTCTCTGGCTTTTCTGTAATATATCTTTTTATACCCCTACCCTACCTTGGAAATAGAGCTTTCTTGGGTATAATGGCAGAGTTATCAGTTATCTCTCCTCTTTCTTAATTCTTCAGCAATCAAACATAGAGGCTGTAAAATCAGGGATCCAAGGAAAAATTCCTGCAAACCAGTTGGCTGAGCTGTGGCTGAAGTTGATAGATGAAGTTATAGAAGACACGAGGTACAGTGATCTTCCCTTCCCCACATCCCCAGTCATGCACTCATCCCTCAATTCTAAGACTGTTAGTGCTTCTAGAATCTTCGCTTCTCTGAAGGAAAAAAAAAATGCCTTTGATCATTGTTTTGGGCTCCTTGAAAGCCCCACCCCACCAGAGGAAGAGTTTCTGAATCACCTGGAAAGCTCCATTCTTTGGTTTGGAGCCAAGTCTATTTTTATTTTATTTTATTTTATTTTATTTTATTTTATTTTATTTTATTTTATTTTATTTTATTTTATTTTATTTTATTTTATTTTATTTTATTTTATTTTATTTTTTTACTTTTAAAAAAAATTTTTTTTTAATTTTAAAATAATTTTATACATTCACTTGTATCCCAGCAACCAAGGACCATGCATGGAGATAACCTACAACCCCTGCTCAGACATAGCCCATGGTAGCTCAGTATCCAAGTGGGTTCCCTAGTAAGGGGGACAGGAATTGTTTCTGACATGAACTCATGAGCTTCCCCTCTCCTCTGAGGGAGGAGCAGCCTTGCAAGCTAGGCCACAGATAAGGACATTGCAACCATCCTGAAGATACCTGATAAGCTAGGGCCAGACGGAAGGAGAGGAGGACACCCTCTCTCAGTGGACTGGGAAGGGGGCAGGGAGGAGATGAGGGAGGGACAGGAGGAATGGGAGGGAAAGAGGGAGTGGGCCACAGATGGAGCCAAGTCTAAAGTCAGCCCAAGCTGGACTCGGGGAAGCTGGCCCAGCAGCCTGAGGCAGAGGGTGGGAGCTGGAGGGGAGGGAGGTACTTGAGCTCCCTACTCCTCCTGAAGGACTTCTGACTCTGCAGGGATTTCCACCACTCAGAGCAACGTTCCTAAGTCATGTCTTTAGGAATAGCTTGCTCTTGTTTTTGTTTTTTGTTTTTTTCTGAGTGTCTCTAGTACTTCAGCAGCATTTATACTAAAATAGGAGCAAAAGAGTCAGAATGACCCCTAAACAAGAATGACGTGCAAAATCATGCAATGTTAAAAAATAGACAAGAAACAACAGCAACACAACACACACACACACACACACACACACACACACACACACACACATCAAATCAGATTAGACAAAGCCAGTACGTAGACTCAGCCAGAGCACATTTCATAGCTGTGACTTGGAGAAGTAACTCAGACCTTTTAGCATTTAGTAATCAAAGGGGAAAGTGACTCATTCAAACCTCATTTTAAATATTGGCTAAAGAAGCTGTGAACAGGAAAGGTCAAAAAGAAAAGCTCAGGGGAACCAGACACTTCCCCTCTGGGGAAGTCCCTTAGTCATGCAGCCTTCTTGTGCCATCTAGTGGTTTGGTCAGGTCATTGACGAGCAGCTGACGTCAAAACGCCACTGACTCTGTGACCACTCAAAGCTCACACTGAGAGTAGAGGGGTCCAGCCGGACAGTGATGCTGAGAGTGATTTACCACTGAGCCCTCTGCTCCCTTTCATCCTCAGCAGCCCACTCTCAAAGGGCTCACGTGTGACTTCTGAGCTCAACAGCTTTCTCCTGCCACTGCAGCTTCTTAACCCTTCATACGAATTCTGCCACAGTCATTAATAAAATCAAATAAAACCATGCAGTTACAGCTTTCACTTGGAAAAATGGCTGTGAACTATAGGATTTGCTGAAGCAAGCACAGGCATATCTAGCAGGGCTTTGATGCAAGCTTCCTTCAAAGAAGACACTTGGGATGTTTTAAAATGTTATGTAACAGGACATTCTATGTTTGAGGGAAATGCTAGAATATCCTTCATTTAAGGAGCGGGGTGAAATGCAAATAACAGGAGATCTCAGTGGGGACAACGTGAGTCGAATTTTCTGGTACTGACAGTCTTGCCCTGGGGCCTCGCCAACTGCCGCAGCGAGAGGGAGACACGAATGACAGGAGGCTAATCTGCATCACTCACTCAGTCACCCCAGTTTTTCTTTGGGGGTCCTGCCACTGGGTCTTAACTTGGATAGAAATTGTCCCATCAAACAGTCCTTCCTATTTTCTGGAGCTCTCTGAGAACCTTCTGAGGTGATGACAACAGTGAAGATGATGGTGGTGGGAATATCACTTACACTTTGCTGCTTTAAAAAATGTTTGTTCTCTTTTCTGTTCCGCCAGCACCACAGAGATGTCCTCAATGACAGTTTAACCCAAGCAGCGCCCCTAGAATCAGAAGAGTGTTGACACCTCAATCCATCTACATATGGAATGAATGCAGACATGCATTAAACATGTGGGCAGACATAAGTGAACTTAGTTTTAAGCCCAAAATGTCATTCTTAAGTTTTGTCTTCTTTTCTCTCCTTTTCTCATAGATACACCTTGCCTGTCACAGAAGGAAAAGCTAATGTCACAATTCTGGATACTCAGATCCAAAAGTTGCGGTCCAGGTTTCTCTCGCAGATACATGAGGCAGCTATGAAGATGAGGTCGGAAGCCACAGATGTGAAATCCACCTTGTTGGAAATCGAGGACTGGCTTGATAAATTAATGCAACTTACTGAAGAGGTAGAGCTTGGAATTTCACTGATGTCATCTGGTTCCAGAAGCATTCTGTGGATGATGCCAAGGGGGTGGGGGAGTGGGGTTGTGGATGGAGAATCTGGCATGATGTTTGGTACTGTGAATGGATTTAACCAATAACAAAAACCAAGGAATAACTGGGCTGAGGGGGCTACTGAAGATTGGGGTAAAAGTCACTGAAATCGGTACCAGAATTTTGAGTTGGGTTCCGGAGGAACCTAAAGGAAAATTACCGCTTTCATGGTGCTGTCATAGAACTGTTGTGGGAAGCTTTAAACATGATGACTATAAAGGAGGACAGCACAGGGCGGACAGGAGGTGCTGGCTGAGTGTCAGCTGTCCCTCACCTCCATGAATGAACGAGTGGACAGACTCCTCCTGTCCTCTGAGTGTCTGGGGGTGAGTGTCTTAGTTCCTTTTGTGATACTGAAACAATACCACAGGCTGGGTAAGTTATGAAGAGCAGAGATTTCTTTCTTGCAGTTCTAGGAGCAGCGATATCCAATATGGAGAGACCTGAATGTGACAAGGGATTTTTGTTGTTGTTATTGTTGTTGTTGTGTTATTTCACTGCAGAGGGCTAGAGGGGAGTGTGTGTGTGTGTGTGTGTTTGTGTGTGTGTGTGTGTGTGTAAGCAAGCAGGTGGGGACTGACCCTACTCTCACAGTACGCCTATACATATGATAACTAACCCACTTTTGCAACAACTGCTGAATAATCAACACTGCTGAATAAAGCTTTGGACATATAACCCTGAGGAACACATTCAGACACATCACAGCAGTGGGTGGCAGTTTGTGGCTTTCTGATGAAAGCTTTCTGAAGAAAGCTACTGATGGCTTTCTTCAAATGATACTTGAGACACAAGGGGGGTATCTCCTAAAGTACCTTTCAGCTCGGAGTGGCCGGCACCTCTTTACTTGCTGCCATGTGCCTCTACTCCTGCCCCACAGCTACCCACAGCCCACTTCTTAGCCTCTTGTAACCACAGTGGACCATAGAAGATGCGTATCTCTTGACTTTGGAACACAGTATCTCCTGACTTTGGAACACACAACCCCAAGTTCCTAACCTGCTATTTCCCGGTCTCTCTGTATATCCACTCATCTTGTCTGCTTTCTTTCCCATCTCACCCACTGGCCAGCCTCAGAACAGCATGCCTGACATTATCATCTGGATGATCCGTGGAGAGAAGCGACTAGCTTATGCACGGATTCCTGCCCATCAAGTCTTATACTCCACCAGTGGCGGGAACGCATCTGGGAAATACTGTGGGAAAACCCAAACCATCTTTCTGAAGGTACATCTCCATTGTGTAATAGGAAATGCATGCAAAATTCTCTTCTGGGGGAGGGGTTGCATGGTTAGTAGTCTATCTTTTTGTATAGCTAAGATGTTTAAGATCAATGCCAACCTGTCCTGGTCTCTCTTCTTCTGGGGCTGTAATTTTTACAGTGACATGAGGTTGGTTGACATTCAACCACAGACACTGCTCTAGATGGCTCTGACATTACTAATAACATGACATTGTCATTTGCTTTCTGACATGAATTTTCTATCCTTAATGTCTCATACAAACAGTACATTTCTTCCATTGATGCTAGTAGGTGTTTGGGGAGGAGGGGTTATATAACTAGTCATGAGATCAGGGTTCTCTAGAAGAGCAGACAGATAAAATGAATACACATTAAAAGGGGAATTATTAGACTGGCCTATCTGATATGGTCTGGGTGGCTCAATGATGGCTGTCTCAACCAGAAAGGCCAAGAACTTGGAAATTGATTAGTCCATGAGGCTGGATGTCTGAGCAGTCTCAGTCTGGTGGCTCAGAGGATTCTGGGAGAACCATTGGTCTTCAGTTTCCACTAGAAGCTGGAATCCAAGTCCTAATATTAGGGAAAGAATGCAGCAATAGCAGCAACAAAGTTGATGAACTTGCCGGCAAAAGTGAAGGCAAGCAGGCAAGAAGCAGAAGCTTTTCTTCTATATCCTTTAGCTGGGCTGCACACATTTAAGATAGGTTTCTACTTCAAATAATCTATCAAGAAAATGCCTCACAGGAATGCATGGCATCATGCCTTTTCATTGGTTCAGATCCAGGCAATTTGGCAATCACGAGCAGCCATTACAATCATAAGACTCTCTAATATAGAAAAGTTTCGAGAATTGCTACTTTAAGCAGAAGTTTTGAACATTTTTATCACCATCATCATCAATTACTATTTTGTTTTGTTTTGTTTTAAGATACACTCTCACTATGTAGATCAGGCTGACCTGGAACTCACAGAAATCTCCCCGCCTATGCCTCCCAAGTGTTGGGATTTAAAGGCATGTGCCGCAATACCACAGTAGTTCTGACTAGAGTCATGGACATCTTTAAGTGCTTCCTGCCAGATTGTGTTTGCATCTAATTTTCTGCACATACTCTGCAAGCTTCCTAGAACCCATAACTCCTCCTAGAACCCCAATGAGGAACTTCTCTGGAAAACTGACAGAGGCCTGGGGCTGCATCAAAGAACTGAACATAGCTCCTGTTGGCGTGCTTTGACATCCAACAGGAGTCAAAGAAAGAATTTCTTTGGATTTAAGAAAGTAATTACAAGTCTTAGTAGGAGAAAAGACAAAGTCAAGGCGGTCTGCTCTCTAAAACAAGGAGCTGTGTGCTCACTTCTAATGTGTTAATTTCGCTCTTTAACCCGGGGCCTGTAAACAGTGTCGGAGTGATCAGCTTCTTCCAAATGTCCTCTGCAGAAGGAATTTGACTTAAAATAAAACCTCAATTATAATCACTGTCAGCAGTAGTGGAAGCAAACTGATTAACAAATAAAGCTTCACAAGAAACCAGAGAGGCCAGGGGGTTGTGTTTCGTGTTAAGTTTTAGAATCTAGAGCATAAACAGAAAAAAAAAATGCTTTTCAGAAACTCTATTTATTGACCTTATTAATCCTCATTTTTTAGTTTGAGAAGTCTTTTAGTTCAGTGAGATTTTTTTTTTTTTTTTTAGTCTTGGTGTCTCTTTGTAACATTAAAAACATTATTGAAGACTACAAAGGGCTTTTGTTTATATGGCTTGTATCCCTAGTATTTGTTATAATAAAAATTAAAATAGGAAAACAGACACAGGATACAAGAGGTCTTGTCTCAACACACACACATACACACCTATCTCTAGGTCAATTTATAACAGAGCGTTTGTCAAGTTGACAAAAAGCTCTTGTGCTAATGTGTGAGAGCGCCCTCTTTTATCACACCAAGTACTAAGAAACCAGGCACTTAAGAGTGGGGATTTAACAAAACATAATCTTTACTGGCTTTTAAAAATCGATTATAATATTTTTAGTTCTTTAGTTAGTTGGGTTTATTTAAATTGAAAGAATTCCTTAGTGGAACTGACATTTCATCTTCTGCACTTGACAGTTGAGTGCTGTTCCTACCTTTGGGGGCAGTGGGAAGTCACTGCCCCACCCGTGCAGATGTCAACAAAACAAAGAAGACAAATCTCACACTGATGCTATTAGAAAGACTGTTCTCCCCATGTAGACTTCCTGAAATGGCCTTGGGGACAGGTGGGGATACATGGCTCACATTTTGATTGGTTGACTGATTGATTGAACTAGAGACAGTTTATCAATGAAGAAAAGGACAGACGCAAGCCAGAGAACTGGAAAAGGCCGGGCATTCGGAATGGCTTGCATAGAACCTATGGCTTTAGCTGCTATCTCAGTCTTTGCTGTAGGGTCATTTGTCAGTTTTAACTAATGCAAAGACAAAGTCAGTCTGATGGGAGCAGTGGGTAGAGGCTGAGCATGCTTTGGGCTTTAGCATGATATCACAGTTCATGTGGCGTCTGTTCCATGTCACCTAAGATGTTATAATTCATCCACAGTATCCACAAGAAAAAACCAATGGGCCCAAAGTGCCTGTGGAGCTTCGAGTGAATATCTGGCTGGGTTTAAGTGCTGTGGAGAAGAAGTTCAATAGCTTTGCTGAAGGCTTATTCACCGTCTTCGCTGAAATGGTACCTTTGATGACAGTCCTCTCTTCTCTTTGGTGGGGCAGAACTTTTTACTTTTTCCCTTTTTGCCTACCTGTAGCTGTTATTACTACCACCTTAAATGCCTCTAAAAGAATCTTACACACACACACACACACACACACACACACACACACACACACGCCGGCTGCCCTACGGTTATAAACAGTGGAACACTCCAGTGTGGCGACCCCTTTTGTGTGATAATTCAATGAGGTAACCTCCAGCCAGCGACCTTGAAAATGGATGCTTTTCCAGCTTGTGACACTAGAGCCAATCTCATGGGCGCTAGACATACGACACACGACACACGAAGTCGGATGCACATATGTGCGCACACTTTTCTGGGTGCCTTTGAGGCACTTCACATGTGCCTGTCCATGAACACCTCATACTACTTTGTCCTGCTGCAACTGTCTTGAGGCTCCATCCCCGAAGCCACTGAAGGCCACCACCACCACTCTCAGTGGAGCCCTGTGGTCCACGTCGAGATCTGTGCTTGGATTTTATTAGTGTCATGCTGGCTTCCAAGCAGAGTCAGCAAGAAACCTTTGCTCCTCCATTCTGTGCCCCAGTCACGCATCCTAAGTTCATGGATCCTTGTGATAATCACCTAGGCGCACCCTCCCCTCCAGGCTCAAACCAACACCTGAGATGACACTCGTGCTCTCTCTCCACTGCCATTAGGCACATAGTCACATTTCCTGCCTCCCTTTGTGGGCAAAGACTTACCTGTGCTGTGGGCACCTTATCTTCTCAGTCCGGTCAACATAAGAATAGTAGACCTATGAGTCTGAGACCAAACAAGGACCCTCACCTCTCTGGAAAGTCTTTCCATGGTTGAGAGCGTGAAGAAGATCAGACAGTCATGGTTTTATACATTCTAATTTAGAAGGGAATGGCTGGGGTGGCGAGTCAGCTCAGTGGATACAGGTGCTTGTAGCTGAGGCTGATCACCCTAGATCGGTCCCTGGGACCCACATGGTCAAAGGTGAGAACTGACTACCAAAAGGTGTCCTTTGACCTCTATGTGAGGGCTTGCACACACACAAAAATTATAATGAATTTTCTTAACTTAGAAATGAACCCTCTGAAAACCAGAGTCAGACGTTGCTTTCCAGAAAGTTCTCATTCTACCTGCCATAGTCCAGAAGAGACTCAGAACTTTTAGGACCCCTTGGTGATCACGTTTCTGATATATTCTTTGTGTACTGCCTGGGGGTAGGAATACCATCAATTATTTATTTCTGTGGAGAAACGTGCCCAAATCTAAGCAGTAAACTTACAAGTAAACTTTACGGAATGCACACATTCATAGGTCGAGGATTGTTGTGGGCATCTCGATGTCATCCTTCTGTCTAGTGTCATTCAAATAACTCACATGGGACACATCACTGTTTGCAGAACATACAACCGTTTGTATATGTGAACTCTAGAATAAGTGTAAGAAGCATGCTGTGCCCAGTTTACAGATGATCATACTGAATCTTAGGAAGATGAGCGACTCACTCAAAGTTGCCTAACCACTGGCAGGCCTGAGTTCAGGTCCATACTTTCTGGGCATGTAGCTTTTTTGCTTCCTTTCATTAACTGGCCTCAGCCATGCGCACACTTGGATTTCATGACTGGCTTGCTTTCTCGACCTCTGATAGTGATTCCCCAACTGTGTCTGTTTTTAACAGTATGAAAACCAAGCCCTCATGTTTGGGAAGTGGGGCACCTCTGGACTGGTGGGACGTCACAAGTTCTCTGATGTCACAGGAAAAATAAAACTCAAAAGAGAATTCTTTTTACCTCCCAAAGGCTGGGAGTGGGAAGGAGACTGGGTAGTTGACCCCGAAAGAAGGTGAGTGTTTGGCTTTCTAGGTCACTTGTTTTGTTTAGGTGTGTGTGTGTGTTTATGCAGGCACATGTATGACATAGCACAAATGTGGACAACAAAAGACATCTTTTAAGAGTCACTTCTTACTGTCTACCTTGTTGAGCCAGGGTCTTCTGCTTCTGCCCTCATGCTGTATCCAGGCTAGCTTGTGCACAGCTTCTGGGTGATTCTCCTGTCTCTGCCTTCTAGCTCACCTTGGGGATGCTGGGATGATAGAGTTCCACCAACACATCTGTTTTTTTTCTGTGGGTCCTTCGGATCTGGTTCAGGGTTTCAGGCTGCAGTGCTGGCTGGAGCTTTTACCAACTGAACGGTCTCCCCAGCCCGTCTGTCATCATTCTTATTAATATTAATTTTACCCACTGAGTAGGACTAAGTCCATAGAAACTTACAGGGCGATACCATGAGTCCCCAAAGACAAGAATAAGAGGCACCTTTGGGAATGCAGGGTGTAGGTCTGCAAACCCCAGCTACCTAGGGACGAAAGGAAGAGAACTGCGTATTCAGATTCTGCCTGGAGTACAGACCAGTCCAAGCTCAGCAACTTACCAGGACCCAGTCTCAAAATACAAAGTAAAAAATAGTCAGGGAGATGAGCCGGGTCATAAATCAATGTCTCTCATGACCGAGTACAAAGTGTCCAATTCCCAGTACAACTCTGTCTGTACCTAGACCTAGATATAGTCTATGGAGCTATTACAGATGTGCTAGGTGTCAGGTCTCAAACTGCAGACAAGTGGAGTGCCTATTTAACACATCAAAGCAGATCCTGGCTGCCAGGTTCTCAGCATCTACCCATTACAGAGTCATCCTGGCCTGCATATCCTGCCTCCTACCCTATCCTCACCAGCCCAGGCCTGGGCTTCCCTTCCCCCAGCTTCTCTTATTCCTATATAATCCAGCCATTTTTGTCTACACCAGTCTTTTGGCCCCTTGGTCTCTTGGCCTCTTGGTCCGAGGCCCCCACTTCTTTCTTTCTTCTCTTTCTCTTTCTTCCTCTCTTGCTCTCCCCCACCTCCTTGCATGGCCTGGTTCAGTCTGGATCATTCAAGACGCCTCTGTCTGTGCTCTTCTTTATATCTACAATAAACCTCCTCTACCATACCTAGGAGCGAAATATCCTCGTTTAATTTTCTCATCTGGTACATATGATTCTTCATGGACAAGCTGTAGGTTCCTTTCATCAGAGATAAGGAGAATGAATGACTCCTTTTAGCAGGTAGGAACTATTTTCTCAAGTCCCTGGGGGAATGTTGGCTTTTGTCTAAAATGACAGACTTGGGAAAGGAATTCCTTGGGACCAGACGCTAGACAGTGTGCCTAACACCAACATCATCTCATTTCAACTTAACCACAGTCCTACCCAATAGGCAATGGTAAGAACTATGAAAGATAGCCGGGCAGTAATGGCACACTCCTTTAATCCAAGCATTCGGGAGGCAGAGGCAGGCAAAGCTCCATGAGTTCAAGGCCATCCTGGTCTACAGAATGAGTTCTGGGACATCCAGGACTACACAGAGAAACCCTGTCTTGAAGGAAAACAAAGCAAAACCATGAAAGATATCTGCAGTTATGAGGTTACCAGCCACTATTTCCTGGATCATGGTGAGAAGACACATGACTCCTGGTTCAGAGACAAAGGACTTTAATTTCCTGCAAGAAGAGTAATAGCCGAATATCAGCATTTTCTCTAGGTTCACTGTGCTACGACCGAGTGATGAAGAGGGCCAGATGACATTTGCACCCGCAGTGGGGTTGTGTTGAGGAGAGGAAGCCTGGAATTTGGATCCTAAACTTTGCTTCTTTCTCTCTCTCCCTCTTTCTCTCTCTTTGTTTTTCAAGACAGGGTTTCTCTGTGTAGCCTTTGCTGTCCTGGAATTGCTTTGTAGACCAGACTGGCCTCAAACTCACAATAATTCGCCCACTTCTGCCTCCCTGAGTGCTACAGTTACAGGCTTGCACCACCACGTTGGGTTTGGATCTTTTCTAATGGGCATAGCAAAATGCTGGCCTCTCAATCTAGACAAAGACCCTATCTCTGTCTTCCATGACTGTTCCACAAATAGCATTGTTGATAAGCTAATTCATCACAAAGGCCGTCACTGATCAGCTGGCAAGAAGTGCAGAAATGCAAGAGATTCATGGGGAATAACCTCCGAACAGTATAATACGATCTTTACTTTGCAAGCAAGGAAAATGAGACCAACACTCAGTCAGCCTTGAGCAGCTATTAAGAAACACTAGGGAGTGCATGTCCAAGAGGTGAATTATGTGGTATGGGAATTACATTTCAGAAGCTGTTATTAAAAAGAAAAGAATTGTGTACTGGAGATATTATATCGCAGGGGTTCATTGCGTGCCTCACATGTGTGAGGTTCTGGGTTTGAGTCTCAATACCGCCTCCCCAAATAAACATAGAGTCATAGAAGGCTAATATGCTCCCCCCTGAGGTCTGGGGGAATCCCATGTTTCTAAATATTGCCAGCAGGGTTGGGACATAGTTTAGCAGGTTGAATGCCTGCATGGAATACACAAAGCCCTAGATTTGAGCTCTAGTACTGAATAATCCAGATGCAGAGGCCTACACCTGTATCCCCAGCACTCGGCGGATCAGGGGTTCAAGGCCATCCTCTGCTTCAGAGTCTCAATCAGTTAACAAGTAAATTAAAAAAAAAAATGTTTCTGGCAGCATCAGTCCCAGAGCTCCTTCTCCTGGCCACCTTGTGATGGCATGGGCCTTAAAGAGGGAGGAAAGGAGCGTGCTGTTCTGCCAGACCCTGTGCCCACACATCCTTGCTTCTGCTGTGAGACTGTTTGCTTTGTTTGGAGTTGTGGGCATTGGTGAGGGGAGGGAAAGGGAGGTTGGGTTGGCAAGAAGGAAATAGGTGAGGATAGGGAAAGGTAGAGAGAATTGTGAGTGGAAAAACTCGAGGCTGGAATGCCAGAGGTGGCCGCCAAAACTTTCGTCTCCTCTGGGGTACAGAGGAGTGATGGATGATTTCAATTTATACAAATGGTCAGAGCCATTTGTTTTTTGATACCCTTCCAGTGTTTGATTTCAGGGAGGGTAGGAAGTAAAGGAAAAAGAACCGTCATTTGAGGGTCCCTGGCAGAAAACTTAAGACAAAGTTGGAGCCTCTGTGCTTTCTTCTGTGGGTTTTTGAAGTGGCTCTAAATGGAAGCAAAAGCTGGCAAGGCAGAGAGTCAGTACAGAGCACTCAAGGGCCCAAAAGGGTCTGGAGTCTGAAATGAAATGGCTTGGCTGTCTACTTAGAAACCATCAGTTTATGTCGTATAGAGCAAGCCTTGGGTCCACATTTCCACACATCTTCAATGCCTGCCTCCACTCCATTTTTTTAAAAAATAGAAAGGACATAGAGGAGTATTTCCCTGTTCTTTGAACTGTCAGCCAAGAGGTCTGCTGAGAAAAAGCTGGAAAGCCCATGCTGAGTTGTACGGAGGACACTCCTCAGTGGTCCCTGCAGGGAGCTGCACACAGCACGACCTTCCAGGCTCCATCCTAATTCCCAGGAAGGAGCCACCTTGCCAGTGTGAGGAGTCCTCTATAATTTAGGTCTCACTACCCCCGCCGGCCCCCTTCTCCAAATGAATGTCAAAAGCTTTTTAGTTCAAAGTCGGATTTGGAATGGAGAAACCAGAGGGCTCAAGCAAGAAGAGAACTGGTGCCATTCCAGGCTGCGGAAGCCTCCCGACAGTGTGAAATAGCTGGGGTTGCTGGTCCGGTTTCCCTTTCTCCTCAGTAACAGGAGCCCTCTCCGACCCACAGCCTCCTGACTGAGGCTGACGCAGGTCACACGGAGTTCACGGATGAAGTCTACCAGAATGAGATTCGCTATCCCGGAGGCGAGTGGAAGCCGGCGGAGGACGCCTATACCGATGCGGTGAGCCACCTGCTCTCAGGAGGGACCCTCCCGTCGCGTCTCCGTGTGTCCTGGGGCATGCTCTATCTTCTCTTTCGCTATATCCCCTGTTCCAAGTAGTCTTCCATTTACAATTGAAGTCGCACCACTTGCGTGATCACTACTTACACCCAATAAAAACCGGGCCTTTGGCTAGACAGTGCTACATGGCAATGTTTGAGCTGTACGTATTCTTTTAGGCAAGAAATTCATTATCTAAGAGGTTTTTTTTTTTTTTTTTTTAAATGATGACCAATGAAATGCTCACTTTAAAGAAATACACAGGCAAATAAAAACAAGTGAAAAGAAAATGGAGCTGAAGGGATGGCTCTGCAGTTATGAGTGCTTGGTGCTCTTGAGGGAACTGCAGTTCAGTTCCCAGCAGCCTCACTGGCACCTCAGACATCTGTGCTACACCTGCACGGGGGCCAATATCCTTTTGTGGCCCCCGTGAGCACTCCTGTGAACGCGCACATATTTGCACCCATCGCCCTAAATAAAAATAAAAATTTTAAATACAGTTTTAAAACTCTTAAAAAATATATGTAAATGGTGTTTAAGGAAACGAGAAGCAATTCTCTCCACCTAACACTGCCCTCCACGAAATAACCACCGTTGCAGGTTTCTGTTCGTCTGCTTGTAGGTTTTTCTCTCTTCTAACTACAACTGTGTTATACACACAGTGCTATACACACCTGCATTTTCACATAAGGGTACGTTTGACCATGTGTGTGCACATGTTTGTGTGGCTGTGCATGGGACACACATACAAGTGTGTGCACGTACTTGCAGAGGCAAAGTCAGCATACAGGGTCTTCCTCCGCCACGCCCTACCTTATTTTTTTTGAGCCGGGGATTTTTTTTCAGTGAACCTGGGACCCACCGGCTGAGCTGGGTGTGTGGCCCACAAGCTCCTGGGATCCGTTCATCTCCTACCCCCCAGCACTAGGATTATGCATGTGTACTCTTCACTGCTGGCTTTGTGTGCATGCTGGGCTTCTGAACCAATTATTAACTGAGCCATCCCCGCAGCTCCCATCATCTTTTGATAACCGTACACACAGAACTACGATCTTCACTGTAGGCCCCTATGGCCATTGATTTGCACATCTCGTAAACATTTAGGGCTTGGTGATTGAGGGTGAGTTTTTGTTTGTTTGTTTGTTTGTTTGTTTGTTTGTTTTGGTCCATCTTCAGTTTTTGTAAAAGACGTGACAGTGAATATCTTTAAACCACTGCTTTTGCACAATTAATGAAAACTCCTCTCTAGGAAAATATCCTTGGGATTATGTAGCCAGATTCTAAATGCATAAAGGCGTGGTGATAATAACTGCCCAGCTGCTTCTCAGGGAAGCGGTGCACATGCCCACAGCGGTGTCGCAGGGGGCTTGTTTCAGCACCGTCCCACTGTCACATTTTTGTTGATCCATAAGCAATCAGTACCTACTACTGTTCTACTTTGCATTCTGTTAATTTAAAATGAAGCTGGGAGCTGGAGACATGGCTCAGAGGTGAAAGGCACTGGCTGCTCTTTCAGAGGTCCTGAGTTCAATTCCCAGCAACCACATGGTGGCTCACAACCATCTATAATGAGATCTGGTGCCCTCTTCTGGCGTGCAGGAGTACATGCAGGCAGAACATTGCCTACATAATCAATCAATCAATCAATATCTTTTTAAAAAAACAAAAAACTGAAGCTGAGTGTTTTCCATGTTTACAGCCACCTTTCTTTCTCTTCCATATGAACATCGTTATTATAACTCTTGAGTTTTAATGTAAACCTAAGCTAGTATAAACTTTGCTCAGTCTCACATGATCAGCATAATGAGCCTCTGGTCTTAACACTTGATCTGTTCTCTGTTTTGCTTTGTTTTGTTTTGTTTTGTTTTGTTTTTTCCTGAAAAAACTCTTGTAAAGATAAGTGGCACCATCTAATAGTATTAAATGAGATCATATGAAATTGCTAATGTTGACCATTTTGGCTTACAAAACCAAGAATTTTACATGGTTCAACTATTCTCTAATAGCAAAAACAGAAGGTACTGGAGACAAGGGATTTTAATGCAGCATTTGTATCCGAGTAAAGATTAGAGTTTTTATGAATAAAATGGTTCTCAAAGATGGTATCTAGAAAGACACATAAATTCTGTAGTTAAGTATCAGGAAACTTTCCTTATCCTTGGATCTCATTTACTTCTGTCTGTCTGTTTGTCTGTCTCTTAGAATGGAGATAAGGCGGCATCACCCAGCGAACTTACTTGCCCTCCGGGTTGGGAGTGGGAAGATGACGTGTGGATATATGACATAAACCGGGCAGTGGATGAGAAAGGTAACATGGACAGATGTTTGCCTTAGTGTGAGTCCGCAGAAAGGCCTTGGGTAGCCAGAGCAGAGGTCCATGGGGTGGGGGGGGAAGAATGCCATCCCCAGTGGAGTGTGGCAGTTGTGTCATGTGGTAGTTATTCAGATGAGTATCTGACTCAGACAACAGCTGCTGGGTGAGGAGATGTTAGAAGTAGAAAACAGAGGTGAAGGGGCTGAACAGCTGAGCTCTGGGATACTTAGAAATCCAGAGTAAGAATGACAGAAGAAATCTAGAGCTTGGATTTCCTCTTTGCTAACCATATCTCATAATCTCCTTGGGATAAATCTAGAGGCCCTAGACACAGATAGGAGAATGGCAAAATGTCTTACAAGACATCGCACTGGCGAGCGTGTGATTGACAGAGCTGCTAGGTATAGTGGTGCTTACCTTTCTCTACACAGGGGCAGGTCAAATGAGCTTACCCTCTGGAACTATTCAGAGCAAAAGCATATAACTGATTCTTTGCTCCGAGAGGTGAGAATATGTGAGCAGAGTGCGCGACTGATACCTAAGATTCCGAGTAGATGGTGAACTGTGCGTGGGTTGTGGTGCTCTAACGAGATTATGACGCACAAATAACCATGTACCAACCACACAGATGCGTGTCTTTTACCTTTAAGGTTGCCAAGTTGGAACAGGGACAGGTTTACCAACTTGCAGGAAATACCGCCAAAGGGCTAGGGGATGGAGCCTGATGGCAGAGCTCTTAGTTGGAATTCACAGGTCCCTGAGCTCAATCCCAAAGGAGTAGAAAGGCTGAGTATCTCTTATCCAACATGCTGGGGCCCAGAAAAAGTGTTTTTTTGTTTGTTTGAGAAATGTTTAGATTTTGTAATGTGTTTATATGTATGTATGTATATATATAATGTTTATATAAATGTTTATATATGTGCATACATACATACACACATACATTCATACGTACATAATTTTACATTTGTGGCATGATGGCGCCCAAAAAGTTTTGGCGTGGCACACTATATTTTCAGATTAGGCATGCTCAACAGTCATGTGTGTGACAGTCACAATAGCAGAGAACATCTGTGAGCAGAGAGGAGCTTCGTGTTTCCTAGCAGATCGTTCACTGATCACGCAGACATGTCTCTTTTGGGTAACTATTCTCAAACTCTGTTGCAGGCTGGGAGTATGGAATCACCATTCCTCCTGATAATAAACCCAAATCCTGGGTTGCAGCAGAGAAAATGTATCACACTCACAGAAGGCGGAGACTGGTCCGAAAACGCAAGAAAGATCTGACACAGACGGCTTCTAGTACTGCGAGGGTAAGAGGGGCGGCAGGAGAGTGCTGGGCCCGGGCGCTCTGCCTGCCACACCACACAGAGTCCCAGCCACAGGGCGGTTTCTGCAGAGCCATTTGCAAACCAAGCATCTGTAGCCTGGAATGTCAGAAACGCCTCACTCAGGAGAGTCTGGGGATGAGAGCAATAAGCTGTGCTCCCACATGCCCTCCAGAAGACACTGAGGTATCGAGAAGCCTCTAGGAGGATAGAAAAAGACTCTGGGATTGTGTGGGCAGATAGTGCCGATACTCAGAACCTGGAACAAGATGCAGAATTCAGAGTCCAGGAGCAAGACTACCCGTCTGTCTTGGGTAGGGTTTCTATTGCTGTGATAAAGTGCCATGATGAATGCAGCCTGGAGAAGAAGGGGTTACTATTTCAGCTGATGCTGATGCGTCCTGATCACAGTCCATCATGAAGGAAATCAGGGCGAGAACTCAAGGCAGGAACCTGGAGGCAGGAGCTGATGCAGAGGCCATGGAGGAAGGCTACTTACTGGCTTGCTCCTCATGGCTTGCTCAACCTGCTTTCTTATTAGCCCAGAACCACCAGCCCACAGATGGAAACACCCACAGTAAGCTGGGCCCTCCCCCCATCAATCACCAAATAAGAAAACACCATCCAGGCTTGCCCATAGACCGACCTGACAGAGGCTTTTTTTTTTCATTTGAGGTTCCTTCTTCCCAAATGACTCTAGCTTGTATCTGGTTGACATAAAACTATCTGCTCCCTAATTTAATTAGGCTAGTACAAGGTTTCCAACTGCATAGTAAGTTAAATTGAATAATAATATGAAATTAATAATAAACAGTATGTTTTGCATGTCATTTACAACACGGCACATAATACAGCATGAATGCGCTGTAAGGTCTGGACTGTTCCTCATTCCACCGATGATGGAGTTCATAGTCATGAAACAGATGTGCTCTAGGTTCTATCTCCAGGAAGTGGCAGAGATGACCTTTGAACCCAGGTTAGCCTAATTCTAAACAGGAGCACTACCTCAAAAGTCTCCACTCTAGGAGGGGCTATGAAGTTACCCCTTATTTAATAATGAGCTTCCGGGGAGCGAAAGTAGCCTTATCTCGGTGTCCTGGCTTAGCAGCGTGCTCCCAGTGCGGTGTGCTAGCGTGAACGAGTCTCAAACGCTGCGCCGTCCCTCCTGGGTGAGAAGTTTCTAGATTAGCTTCACTTCTTTCCACGTGAGCACCAACATGACTCCCGAAGAATGCTGGGCCTCTGCTCAGAAGCCCCAATTCCACCCATGCCTTGCTGAGATTTCAGTTGTGTTCTCTAACCTGTGTCATTGTTGGCCACACAAAATGTGCCACTATCACTGTTCGTACTGTCACGAAGGAACTTCCTAGATCATGTGAGATGTGTATTTTATGTTTATTTGAAATGGGGAAAAAGATTAAAACTGCACACTGACAACAACCCTGCATGGATCTCTAACATCTAGATCAATCAATGATATTCAGTATGATTTACCATCTGTTCTATCTGATCACGCTTGTAAGACCCTTAGGTAAGTTTTTGGCCATTTAAGTATCAAATGCATGGAGGCAAAGGGCACAACTATCTTCTTCTTCAGTGATACCCCAGCCTTGAGGACAGTCTCTGTCGTGTGACAGGTGTACAGGTGTGTTGAAGGAATAGAAAAAAACATTGAAAACAGAGCAAGTGCATATAAGTCATGTTCAACTTAAAAGTACTGTACTAGCTAATAAGTTATCACGGAAACCATGGACTCTGATCTAACACATCATTCCTAATAACAGCAGCTGTTAGCATAAACAAGACGTTTAAATCCTTCGGGATGGTATCATTTCACTGCATGTGTTCTTATGAGCAATCTGAGAAAGAGCGCATCCGCTCTCACTCACTCCCGTGTCTGAATGGTCACTGTGGTTTCCTGGTACCTCCATCTCCAGTCTGTCAACTCTACCACGCCAGAGATCCCCTCTAGTCTATCTTTGCTGTCTCCTTGACTCCTCACATAGTACATGACAGAGAGTGGACTTTTGTGGCTCCGTATTTTTCTCTCTAAAAGTTGTGCTTCTCTTTTAGGCCATGGAAGAACTTGAAGACCGGGAGGGCTGGGAATACGCTTCCTTAATCGGCTGGAAATTCCACTGGACACAGCGCAGTTCAGACACCTTCCGCCGCAGACGCTGGAGGAGGAAAATGGCTCCGTCAGAAACACACGGTGCAGCTGCCATCTTTAAACTTGAAGGTGCCCTTGTAAGTAGCCAGAAGCTAACATGTAGAGGAAGGGTATGAGTAATATAGAAAACGCAGGCACAGAGGCTTGGTTTGCCAGATCAAAGAACCCAAATATACAGACGTAAGGGGGAGAAAAATAGAAGCCTGGCTCACAAATGACAGTTCCAGTGACAGCATGGTAGAGGGGGTAGGTGTTGGGGGTAGGGGCAGGTCGGTGGAAGAAATGAGTAGAAAATAGTAGTGGGTGATCTGTGCAACACAGTGGCCAAGAAACATTTCCACGGACTAGGGGGAATGCTCATCGGTTAAAGATGTTTGCTGTGCAAGCCTGGGGACCTAAGTTCAGATACCCAGCACCCACGTTAAAAAATAAAAAATCTGTGTATATGTGGCAGTGGATGACTGTCACCCAGCACTGAGGTGGGGGTGGCAGCAAGAGGAGTCAGGAAGGTCACTGGGGCTTTCCAGCAGCCAGTCTAGCCAAAAGCTAGTGAGATCTAGTTCAACGAGAGCCCCTGTCATGAGGGACAAGTGAGAGAACAGGACACCTGATGCCCTATTCTGCCCATACACATAGGGAAACATACATCCCCCACACATAGACACAAAAGAGAGGGAGAGAGGGATGAAGGGAGGGATGGTGGGAGTAAGGGAGGAAGGACCATTTTCAAGAACAGTTTTCTCTTCTGTGCTCTGACCCTGCCCCACTCTGCTACTTTTTGTCTTCCTTCTCCCACTCTTGGAGAACATCTATTCTTTCTCCTCTTCCCTTCTTTCAGCAGCAGGGTTTGGTAAGCCTGGACTTGAGGCGTTAGGATTGGCTTCCTTCCCCTGCTCTGTCACCTTCTAGCCAGGTGACTCTGAAGAAGTCACTCACTGTCCCAGGTGGTTCTCACATTGGAAAATGGTGACAAAAATATCTTCTGAAAGTCACCATTGCGGTTGCTTGTTATTCTCACCTCTTGGTTAGCTTAGTTTTAGGTGATGATGGTGGGTGATGATGATAGATGGTGATGATGATGATGGGTGATGATGATGATGATGGGTGATGATGATAGATGGTGATGATGATGATGGGTGATGATGATAGATGGTGATGATGATGCTGCTGATGATGCTGATGATGATGGATGATAATGATGACGACAATGGTTTTCTCTTTCTTTAGGGCGCAGACACCACAGAGGATGGAGATGAGACGAGCCTGGAAAAGCACAAGCACAGTGCCACCACTGTGTTTGGAGCGAACACTCCCATTGTTTCCTGTAATTTCGACAGTAAGTTTTAAACACAGCTGTGAATTCTGGGCCTGCCACTTTTGTCTCTGGAAAAACTCTTTAGATCATCAAGTGTTATAAAAAAAAATCTTAAATGAGGGTAACTTTTAATTTCTTCACTTAATGTTTTTTTTTAAAAAAACTACATCATATTTGGGATGAAGAATGATCAAATCACTGATTTTAATGTCTGCCTAAAATGTACTCATTCTGGCTAGAAAACCCTAAATTATTATCTTAGTTATGGGGGGAGAAGGCTAAAATTTTAAGGAAAGTCTGGTCTCAATGGCAGCCTTCAAGAATTTCAGAATGTTATTAATAATGGCACATGTTTTCATAGGTATTAATATGTACAGATATTCAACCATTCATGGTTCTGGAATTCATGTGTTTAGTCACGATACTCTGCTACTCCTCAAACTGTGTGTGTGTGCATGTGTGTGTACATATATGTGAATGTGTGTGCATTAATAAGAGGAGTTGGAACAAGTTTAAAAGTCAAAGAGACGTTCACCAGACATGGATCTAGCATTGCCCTGAGACCTTGCTCAGTGAGGCCCAGGCTGCCCTGGGTCTGTGCTGAGCAGCCTTTCATTAAACCCCGGAAGTTCACAGTAGGACTACTGTTCTCCTCATAGCCATGCTGGCATTGGAATTGTTATAGCAGTTACATATTTGGTCTTGTTTTCTCTTTGGAGGCAGTGTTTCTGTGTGTAATCCGGGTTGCCTCCGCCCCTCGCATGCTGGGATTATAGGTGTGCAGCATCATACCTGGAATACGGTGCCTTAAGTGCACTCCTGTTATATTTTTACACTCCCCGGCCTCTTAGAGAGATAAGATCCATCCTAAGACTTTGTGCCAACCTTCCTTACAAACTGTCTCAATACATACGTACATACATGTGATGAACTTCAGTTTAGAAATTAGACACAATAACAAGAGTGGTAACTAATAATAAATATGGAAGTTATTAAAACGTCCTATAACTAAATGGCTACTCTTGTGCTTTGGGCCTTTATTAAATAAACAAGGGTTACTTAACATAATCGATACGATGCTACTACATCAGTAAGTTTGATAACTGATAAAAGGAACTATTGAGTGACTAACAGGCAGGCAGCCTGTACAGCATGGACACGCTGGACAAAGGCATGACTCACATCCCAAATGAGATGCAGCTGGGTGCTTTGAGAGGGCTCCCACTGCAGGGCTTGCAATATGAAACTTGTGAACTGTTTATTTCGGACTGTTTCCACTTGACGTTTGTGACCGGAGATGGACTACGGGCAACTGAAATATTAAGAAGTGAAAGCGCAGGTTAGGGGACTCCTGTAAGTGTTCTTTTGTAAGAAACAACTGTGTTGGGGATATTTGAGTTCTGTGCTGCAGGGAAATAGATCAAGTGGCTCAGGTGTCTGAAACATGTATCGCCTCCCAAAAGTTCAGAAAAATCTTGCTAACAGTGTCCTATTTTTTGTCACCCTCTTCTTTTCAGGGGTCTATATATACCACCTGCGCTGCTACATTTATCAAGCGAGGAACCTCTTGGCTTTGGACAAAGACAGCTTTTCAGGTGAAGGGAAAATCCCTAACACCCTATTACATGGCAGGCTAGGGTGGGTCTCCTGCTCATCACGTGATTTTTGTGTCTCGTCTCGTTTTTATTTCATACACTAAAACCCTAGTCATACGGAGACCACTTTGGTATACTTGAAGGAAAGGGCCCAGGCATTGCTTAAGGGATTATTGACTTTAAGAACCGTTGCTGCGTGCTAGGAGACTCACAGTGCTTGAACACTAATAATCACCGATTAAGCACTAACGTGCTGTGAAGGGCAACTTCCGTGTTCCCTGTGAGCACGGCTGTGCTTTAAACCTGGGTGCTGGGCCAGTGTAACGTACACTTTTTGGTTATATAATCTCAAGATGCTAAAAAAGATCACACCCTTAACTCATTAGCCCATGGAACCCGGCTGTGAGCCACTTGTGGTTTATTTTCGCCTCCTCTGCTGCCGTCCCTGACCCTCACTCCCACCCCCAGCTATAGTCACTTTCTATGTGACTATGAGATTTCACTATCCCCACATTGGTGCTTCACCTGGGTTTGGCTCTGCTCCTTCCTCTGCCTGTGCAGATAGCACAGGAGCAGTTCCATGCTGAGAACCGCAAGCCAGCGAAGCTTGCCTGGTTCTTCTATGGAAACAGCTCTCAAAACACTTGCCTGGTACGATCGGGCACTGGGATCTGTGTCCCCGGCACTCTTCTCACCCAGCATTTGTGAATTATTTCCTTTCCTAATAAGTTAGATCAGATTAGCTAGATGTAGTCTATAAATTAGATCTCGATCTGTAAGTCACATCAAGATTATCCTGGTCTGTGTGGAACAAAGCTTCAAAAGGTTTTCAAGAACGTTTTCAAGCATTGTCCAGCAGGGGGCACTCCCTCACTGTAGATCCAATCAGAATTCTTCCCTGGTGTTTGCCGCAGAGTCTAAGCACATTTCTCACAGTTGGAGATACAAGATTGATGAATGGGACAAAAAAAAAAAAGGTTTAGTGTGATGTCGGCCTGCAATGTTATAACCTTCCCCACTCCTTGGCATACACAGGGGCTTCAAGTTAGACGTTGTTCTATTGCTGGAATAAGTCACCTCTCTAGTGAGCTGTGAAAAAGGTTTAGTGTAGTTATTTGTCATGTAGGAGGTCACGCAATACTTCCTGGAACATAACTATTCCACTCCCAGTGCATGGAAACAGTTTTTCTGCTCTTGCGTGCTGTAAATTCTGAGAGCCGCTGAGCCTTTGCTATCTACTGCTATATTCTCGAAACCCAGCACACAGATATAAAACTTTACGTGTAGATAGCAGTAGGAACAAATGCATGGAGTAAACGTGTTTATCACTTTATCAAAACATTAGAAGCAAACACCTAAAAATAACGTATTTATCAGCGGAGTGGATAATAGGCTCTGTCTTAAGCAGCTCGTGTTCCTCACGTCACCTCCTCCTCTACGCACTGGAAAAAAGATGTTACTTTCGTGGCACAGAGGAAGGAACCAAAGTTTAAGAAGATTAGATCTTTTTCTTCCCAGATCATGGGGCAAGGCCTTGACACAAGATGTGTCAAGTTTATACTCTAGATAATGCATGTGAAAGACCATGTGGCCAGTTAACCTGGATGAGGTTAAGTATACTCCAGAGAGACAATCCTTTGCACACATTGGGGTTCCCTTCGGGTGCTTCTGACTCACCACGATACCTTCCTCTGTGCCGCCCTGCTTTCTAGAGTTCTTGTCTTCACATAGGTAGTGAAAGTACATGCCCACGATGTCCAGAAGAGAAGTCTCTGCTTGAAATGAGCTGCTCTGGGAAGGCAGACTTCACCACAATTCTACTGTTACTATCTTTTTCTGTCCTAGATCCATATGCTCACATCTCCTTTCTCCATCGAAGCAAAACCACCGAGATCATCCACTCCACCCTGAACCCCACCTGGGACCAAACAATTATATTTGATGAGGTTGAAATCTTCGGGGAACCCCAAACAGTTCTACAGAACCCACCCAAAGTTGTCATAGAGCTTTTCGACAATGACCAAGTGGTAGGTGATAGGAAATTTCAAGGAGACCTGAGGGCATAGTAAAGGCCTGAAGAGTTGTTTGACCAGGACTTTGAGTGTGGTTTCCTTTTCTAGGGCAAAGATGAATTTTTAGGGCGAAGCACTTGCTCTCCTTTGGTCAAACTGAACTCAGAGACAGACGTCACGCCTAAGCTTCTCTGGCATCCAGTTATGAATGGAGACAAGGCTTGCGGGGATGTTCTTGTAACAGCAGAGCTCATCCTGAGGAACAAGGTATCACTCTGCTGTTGCTCACATAGCCCTCAAGAGGCCGCTCTGCTTAAAGGAAAGAGAAGTATTGACAGCCTGTGTTTGTTTCGCAGGATGGCTCCAACCTCCCCATTCTTCCCTCTCAGAGGGCACCGAACTTATACATGGTCCCACAGGGGATCAGGCCTGTGGTTCAGCTCACTGCTATTGAGGTAGGGGTCCCCTCCAAGTTTTACTCCATCAAACCAAAGGGTGTGGCTATAAAACAAGGACCATTAATGCAAGGAATGGCATCCTGCTGCATGTTTTCTTGCTGTCTCTCACTTCCTATAAAATCTACCCCCCCCCCCAATAGAAATAGTTATAGAAAATGAAAATCTTAACAGAGCAACAAGAAGCAGATTTCTGAGATTAGGGGGAATTCGCTGGAGAAAGAGAAGATGTTCCAAGAGAAAGTGCCTATGTGAACAGAGAGAAGGCCAGCAAGGGAGAGAGAGGTGGGGACGAAGAAAGCATGGGGACAGTGGTGATGTGAAGATAGTTGTGGCAGACACAGGCTGGTGGAGATAACCTCATGGCTAGATAGACAGTGTCCTGAAAAGGTGAGCACTGTGGGTTCTGCCGTTTTGTGGGGCATCCTCGAAGACAGACACAGGAAGCTTCAAAACAACAGCTACCAGTTTGGAGCGCTTGCAAGTCACTTACCATCCAAGAGGCTTATGGCTGGTCCTCCAGATTGTCCCCCAGAAGGTCACAGCATGAGGCCTGCTTGCAGAGGGGGCATAGAGACACTGACCAGCTGGTCAGCACTGACAGCCACTCGGATTTCTCATTAGCTGTCTGATAGAAGGAAAGGGCCAAAACCACATTCTCTGCATTTCCACAGGCTCCTAAAGATGATAGTCACCAGTATTTTAGACAAGTGTGCATCACTCCATCCTAAAGACTGGACTGGTGATGGAGAGTAGATATATATGTATGTAAGTGTGTCAGGTTTCCTTCCCTTCTCTTTAACTTGTTTCCCCAGATTCTAGCTTGGGGCCTAAGAAATATGAAAAACTACCAGATGGCTTCTGTCACATCCCCCAGTCTCGTGGTGGAGTGCGGAGGGGAAAGAGTAGAATCGGTGGTGATCAAAAACCTTAAGAAGACGCCCAACTTCCCAGGCTCTGTTCTCTTCATGAAAGTGGTATGGTGTCTAGATTCTTCGGGAGCCCACGGGTGTTCGTCTCTGAAATGTGAACATACACCCTTCCACAGCTGATTCAGTTCCAGAACTGGACAGACAGAAACCCAGCCTCATAGCAAGCACGTCAGACTTCTCCCTCCTTACAGGATCTGTAGCCAGTTTCTGAAGGCTTAGAGCAGCTCCAGAGATTAGAAAGAATTTATGAGCAGTACTTGTTTCTCCAGTGTTTGCTGTCTATTGCAGGCCCCTTAGCCAACCCCTCAAGGCAGACTATAGACTCTGAGAAGTGCAGTTGCGCATAGACTGGAACCTTCCTGCTAGGGTCTGGATGTCTGGGGAAGGAGAGCTGTGGGGGACCGCAGTGCTGGTGACAGGCATGGCCCTAGTCTGTGACTAGGTCCGTGGCGTGGAACCTTCTTTGATCCTTTGAAGTTACCTCTGATTACTAAAAGTGTGAGGTGTCAGATAAAACTCCCATGCCTCCTCCACCTGTAACAACCAGAGCAAGAGGAAACCACCCCCAACTTGTTTATTTTTAAAGAAATTAAAGCCTTACCTTTTTTTGTTTGTTTGTTTGAGACAGGGTTTCTCTGTGTATCCCTGATTGTCCCAGAACTAGCTCTGTAGACCAGGCTGGCCTTGAACTCACTTGCTTCTACCTCTTGATTGCTAGAACTAAAGATGTATAAGACAACCACCTGGCAATCCTTAACTTTTATAAATAAAAAAAAAATCATTTTACATTGCTATATAAGAGATTACAATAAGGACATTTCCTTAAATCACAAGGATGAGAGACGAGAACTGTCCCATTCCTTTTCCCTGGCTCAGTCATTTTCCATCATGTCCCCAACACACTACCCTTGAACTGTGGGGTCATGTGGTTTAACCTCTCATTTCGCAGCTGAGGCAGCTGAGGCCTAGAAAGGAAAAATGGCTTGCTTGGCCTCATAGCAAGTGTGCATCCTTGCTGCCTCAGCAACCATGCTCTGATTTCATCTACAACTCTAGCTCAGTGCAAGGCGCGTCCACCGCCCTTTCTTCGCTATGGAAGAAACAAAAACGTTAACTAATGAATACAGGAGGACACAGCAAGTGAGTGGCCAGAGCTGGGCCTGGGGTCCTTGCACTTTAAAGCCTGAACCCTTCCCCCCCTCCCCCCGATTCTGCAGATGGACAGCCATATGGACGTATAGAGCAAGAATCCCTAGCTAGTCACGGCTAAGACGCTCTGCCCATCTTTGTGTGCCCCCGCCCCTCCTCCCCTTTCCACTCCTAGTCCTAGCTTTGGTCAACAGATGTGAGAGGAGGCAGTCAGGAAACCCCATCCTCTATTCCCGTGCAAGGCCAGTGACAGACATTTACCCAAACCACAATCAAGCTTCTGGGCCAGCCGTGCTCTCTAATCAGGGCTATGTCATCCAAGCCCCCACATTCCAGGCAAAACGAGCACCTCATTTTGGCTTTGAACTTCCAGCACTGAGGAATTCCCGGCCTGTTTTTTCCCTTGAAGGTTCATTTATGGCTCTACCATAAATTGCCCCTCAGGAAGAAGATTGTGGGAGGAGAATGAGGTCAGTGACTAAGACTCATTCTACACTCTTCTCGCCAAGTGCACTCTAAAGTGCCTCACATACGGATGGCATAACTACTATTAATGATGAAGCAGTGAGGCATAAAGGGTTAGAAAAGTCCCCTGAGGTCATGCTCTCTGTGACAGCAGAGGTAGGATTTGATCTCCCGGGGCTGGGCCCAGAGAGGATGTGCTAAGCCCTGAGCTGCTTACCAAGCACCTCAGTCATGGAAATACTTATGGAAGGTCCCCTGGGTTATACGTAGTGGGCAAAAGGAATTTGGGCTGGTCCCCTGGAGGAACTGACCAGCAGAGCGGTCCCTGTTAGATCTTGAAAAGAGAAACGATGCCTGTTTTTGTGATCCCTAGTTCTTACCCAAGGAAGAATTGTACATGCCTCCACTGGTGATCAAGGTCATCGACCACAGGCAGTTTGGGCGGAAGCCTGTGGTTGGCCAGTGCACCATTGACCACCTGGACCGCTTCCGCTGTGATCCGTACACAGGAAAGGAGGATATTGTGCCGCAACTAAAAGGTACGCCTGTAGGCAAGTCTGTACGTTACACTTTTGAGCTTTTCATGCTTGGTCTGGTTGAGTCTTAACAAAGCATATCATTGTCTAGATGCTACAGAGGAAGAAAGGTCTGATTTATAGTGAACTAGGTAATTCTAGGGAATTCCCTAGTGAACTAGGGAAATAGAAATAGCTGGGGGTGCAACAAGCCTGGACTCTTGGGGTACTTTGAGGGGCCAAATCCAGTGCTCTTTCAAGAGGCCACCCTCTGGCCTGCCTTGCTCCTGCATAAACATAGGATGTCTTCTGAGGGACATCTTGTTGCCTACTACATGAACTTTTCTATTTGCCTTTGAAGAAGAATCTTGGGAACTCAGGGTATGCTGTTCCCACATCAGCAACAGAGATGGAGACATTTGGCCTCTGTCAAATGGTTATTGAACATTCATAGAATGTCATTCATTGGCCTAAATGTTAGGGACCAAAACTATCTTGTCTTCAAAGTGTGTGGGCCCAGCGAGGAAATGAGCGTGTGCAGGTCAGTGCTGTGAACACTTTCATGTAGGGACACAGGACTTCCTATGTGTGGAGACAGGGATCCATCCCGTCCATGAGCCGTGATGGAGGAGCTTTCTCCCTTTCTAAATGACAGGGTTTTTCTTTATAGTACAGGATGACCTTGGACTCTGTATTTACCTCCCTCCCCTTCTTAAATGCTAGAGTTCCTGGTTTGTTTTTTTTTCCGTCCAGCTCTAGGGAGGAGCTTGCAATTCCAAGTTACTGTGTCTGTGGGCCTGCTTCATTGATGCTTGACAAATATGTTGTGAAGTCATTAGAAAGACATCCCATTGGTATCCATACAGAAAAACATTAAATGATTTACCTTAAATCATGTAGTCAGTGTGTAAGGATAGGGAAGGCTCTAATATTTAATTTAGACTTCAATAATAAATAGCTAATGATACAGTGTTTTGCTCTTACCCTTTCAATAGATACTTGTTTTTAGTTTACCATGTGCTTAATAGTGTGATAAGTGCTGTACTTAATTAATACTGTGGTAAGGCTGTACTTAATACTGTGGTAAGGGCTGGGGACTCAGCCAAGATACCAGACAGTTTGGCTTCGTGAGTTTAGACCTCGGTGGAGAAGTAGAAAGTTCTACTCGTCTACCCCTGGAAAGTCTTTTCAAGCTAGCAAGAACAAAATGGATGTCTTCTGTTTAAGCAGGAATGCCACAGATCAGTCCTGGTTAAGCCTCCAAAAGGCTTGGTGTTGGTATAACAGAGCCTCTAAAACCTATCTGCACACACACACATATCTATATATGTAGACATACACACACACACACACACATATATATATATATGAACATTTTGTGTTGAATTTGATGATCCATAAAATACTACATTTTCTTATAACAGTGAGGATTATAGCCCCAGATCTCATTTATTTGAGGCTAAAAAATGGACAGAAAACATTTTCCTGGCATTTTTCTATTGGTTTAATGATAGGCCGTTCATTGGTCCCATATGTGAAGTTGTTAGGAAGGTACAAATGCTACAGACTTCCCTGGCCACAGAAGAGAAAAATCTTGTCTTAAAAAAAGTAACAGATTGAGGCCTACAGGATGAGCCTTGAGTGGCCTGATCTGAAAGAATGGGCTGTTTTCTGTCCTGTCCAGTGAGACTTTGCTTACTGGAGTGTAGCTAGCAACGTGAAAAACTGACACTTAGGGAGAAATTTGCCTACAGAGATATTCATGCAACCCTGTCCATCTGGCTCTTGGGTCCTGCCTGACGGAAGTGAACCAAGTTTCAGGTGAGCTTATCTTGGAAGCTTTTAGGCTACTCATCTATCTAAAGGTCCCAGGTAGATACAAAACTCCACCTTAAAACAACTGGCATACCGCAGATGCTCAGTAAATGTCAGTTTCCTTCACTACCCGAAGTGTTTCTCTGCTAGTTACTGTGTGCCTACTTTTCCCTGGGCTCTGAGGTGACTGATAACAAGGACTAGGCTTTAAACTGACTTCCATCCAAGGCGCAAGCTGAAGCAAATGGCCTGATTTCTTACAGCTTCTGTTTGTGTTTTTATATTTAAAATGGAGATAGAGCATATTTTAAGACTTGTCAAATGGCTAAATGAGATCATGTAAACAAGGTGCTTAGTTAGCCCAATGGGCATAGTAGATACCATTCCCATAGTCCCTTCCTTCCCATCGTTCATGTCCTATATGTCCAATGCCTGCGTAGGTTACGGGAAGGTCTTTCCGCTTGGTAAAGTGTGTTCTGTCTGGATTCTGACCTAGGATCTTTTGGGGTCTTCTCCAATTAAAAATGATGCTCCTGTGACCTCCCCACCCCCAACCCCTGGATCAGGCTGGGCCCTTGGCACCTGCCTTTATCTGAGTGAGATAAACCTGGTGCCTCCAGGGTCTGTGCCTAAGCCTCTGTTCTTACTCCAAAATCCAGAGCTACATACATCTGAGAAACGCATGCAAGGTCGGAGCCTGGGCCTCCTCCCTCTGTGTGCACTGGGATATCAAAGGCAGAGTAGACAACAGCAGCTTCAGACCAAGGGAAACAAATTCATCCCTGCTTTGACTCTTCCTTTCTCTCCCCTCCCCCTCCCTTCCTCTCTCTAATCACCCTCTCTGTCCTCTTTCTTCCTCCACTCCTCTTCTGCGTTTCATATTTCATTTCCCAAGAAAATGAGGCTCTTTTAGATGCAGATTTGCCATCCTTATGCCCGGCCCTACACAATCAACACAATCTTTTTATTTTATTTTATTCACTTTACATCCTTGTAGCCCCATCCATCCTCCCCTTCCAGCCCCACCCTTCTTTCTTCCCCTTCCTCCTTCCCCTTTTCCTCAGAAGAGGGGAGCTCCCTTTCCCATCCACCCCAGCTTATCAAGTTGCTTCAGGACTGATTGTGTCCTCTTTCCCTGTGGCCTGGCAACAACACAATCTATTATAATTATTTTTTTTATCACTCTGGATGTGTATCTCTCTATCTCTGTCTCTCTCTGTGAGTGTGTGTGTGTTGTTATGTGGAGGGTAAAAGGCCACTTGCAGGAATCAATTCTGTCCCTTCCACTGTGTAGGTCCAGAGAATCTAGCACTTTTCCTTGAAGAGCTATGTTCTCTGGTCTTCAACACAGATCTTTTTCAAGCACTTGTTATGTGTAGGAATGAAGTTAACTACACAAAACTAGGAAAGATGGGCCACACAGTCCCTTATAAAATATCTAAAACCATATCCTATTCTGAGGTGGTGGTCATTGGTGGGGTCATTTTCTATATTCAAATATGGTGCCCCATCGAAAAGTCTCAGCCAGATGAACTCTACCTTCTATCCTGTGGCTGCTCAGCCTGAACATGGACTAAAATGACCTCTAGTCTGTTGTTCCAAGTGTCCTAGATGACGGAGCTCTTTACCTTGCAGCCTCCCTTATGTCTGCACCCCCGTGCCGGGATGTCGTTATTGAAATAGAAGACAGCAAACCATTACTGGCTTCTAAGGTAGGTTGTATTTCAGATGTCTAAGCAATTGGTGAGCTCAGACAACCATTCAAGGCTATTACAATGTCAGTCATCACACCAATGTACAAGGACTGAACGGAGACATCCGAATCTTGTATTCATCCATAGTTACGGTAACATTGCATCAACCAGGGCTTCTTAAAGTGTTTCCACTTATAATCCCTTTTCATCTGAGAAAATTTTTACACAACCTCAGGTGTATAGGTGTATAAAATAAAGTGTACAAGTCAAACATATACTGATAATTATAAAAAAAATGTAAATAATTCTTTGCTACATATAATTTTACCATTCGTCTAAGACAAAATCAGGTTTGTGTTCTAATGGGATAGACGTGCTTGTTAATTTTTACATAAAGGATTAAACCTCAGCTGGATATGTAACACTGCAGAACATAGATGCAGAGCATCATTAACATTTTTCCGGGTTGGTTAACATTTTTGTTTTATAGTCATCAGTGCTGAGACTCTGCTTTGCATAAGTGTGTAGTGCTAATACAAAATGGCAGAAGTCTCTTTAGGGCCATTTCAGAAATGGTTGGAAATTCTGTCTTAATTCCAAGCCAAAATTCACTTAACTTTTTTTTTTCTCTCCTAATGAAACTGAAATCAGTAACTCAAAGAGGAATCTTTAAACAATCAAACATTCTAACATAACGCAATCCAAAGATACACTAGCTTGATACTTAGATGGTAAAGGAAGATGGCAGGAAACTGTCTTGTCTCCATCACCCATATGTGTCTATGAGCGCAGGGAACCTGGTATGCAAAAATACTGCAGTTCATAGCATACACTAGGCCCAGCTCTGGGCTGAGGCTTTTCAGGCGGTCTTCCCTGGTGTTGTATGGTGTGACTGCACGCACAGTGCAAAAACTCACCGGTTCTAAGTTCAGAACCAAGGCCGCAGTGGAGTTGCATGTGCTATGGATAAGCATTGCCAGAACCACCTTGGATTCATTACACATTTTATTTTTAGTTGCTGCACATTCGGAAACCTCTCACTATTGCCTAACTTTCGGTCACTTCCCCTCCCCCTATCCAGGTACTCAGCCCCAAATGAGGTCATAGCCTCCAATTAAAGAAGCTAGGGGTCTGGATTCAGTCCCCACTGGTCAGTCACCTAGGACACTTAAAACAGTACCCAGGGACGTGATTCAAATCTATCTGTGCAGATCTGAGAACCAACGTGGGGAGCAGCCCAAGTGATAGCATGTGTTGGAAGTTTCTAGAGAAAACCGAAACATGGCAACAGTCAGGGCAGGCATGTCAGGGTTTTTCCTCGTGAGGAAGGATTGTCATGATTTGAAATGACCCTATTTGTCAGTATACGGAATACCCTGGGTTTTCTTATTCACTCAGTTGGTGGGAATCCTTACTCAGAACCCGGTCTGAAAATGATCCAGCCACTTCTACAGGAAGGCACAAGAGAGCTTCAACCCAGAAAAAAGAAAACACCAAATAGCTCACTGTTTCTCTTGGCATCTATGATAAACTCTCACAGCATGTTTTAATATGCAAACTGGCTGGAGAGTGCACATGATTGCACTTTAATGTGTTAGGTCCATAAACGGTACCTTTTAGAAAACCCACTTCTTTCCCACTCCATTAGACTCACTAACAATTGGACCATACTAAATGTGGGCTCCACAGCCAGCACTGGATGGCTGTATGTTTGAGTCTAGTATGTGGCAATTCTACATGCTCACAGATGACAGTATCAAATTCCCAACGCCATAGGGCAACATGACTATGTTCACTTATTGAAAATAACCCCAATTAGTCTCAATAAGTCAGTAGTTCCCTAGGGAGAAGTTATGTGTAATAGACTTAAGACTTTTCACGGTGATTTTCGCAACTGCTCTGGGAAAAGGCAGCGTAAGAGCCTCTTTGATAATCTGCCTCTGGCTTACCATCAACCATTGCCAATCATCATTCCTGGGCCTTCTGTGTACCCAGTCATCCTCAGTACTACTGGGGAGCAAGGAAAATAATGCCAGCACTACTCCTTTTCTGACAGTGCCTGGGCTAGGCTACCCTAGGAACACAGTATGAAACAAAGGTCTGTTTGCATCAGCTTTTAGCCAGGAGGAGTAGCAGGCTTGGGGACGGTAGTGTCAAGTCATTCCCTCCACACTACAAATGGCTATAATCAGCTTGCTCCCTCACACCCACTTGAGGTACTCCGTGTCAATGAGAAAACGTGGGGATCTCCTCTAAACATTCAAGGTAGACCTCACACATCTCTGCCAAGTCCAGTGAGCAATGCTGAGCTTTGGAAGAGCCAAAGACAAGCCCGCTAATGTCCTTTATCACGTGTATCACTTGTACATGTAATGTACACATATGAGCACTAACTCAGTTTAGACTTTGTGTCTGGATAAACTGAACGAGTCTAAACTAACTGCTGTTGCTGAGGGCTGGAGCCTGAGTCTGTCCGTGCTGGCCTCATGCTCTATGATGTCTAACGCTTACCGGACGAGCTTAGCACTATCGAAAGGAAAGCAGGAAGTGAGGATGTGGGGGCAGGGGGCAGATCGGTCAAGTGTGAGGTAGACAGCACAGACATTCCTTCGTGGCCATCTCAACGGTTGCCTTCCAATTCCAGTGCTTAAGCAATGTGTCAACAGCACTCAGCAAAATGGCTTCTCCAAGGACAGTGCATGTATGTATGATCTGATGCATAAGGCTGCATCGACTGGGGCAGCTTGGTGTCAGGGCTTGAATTCCTCTGGGCTCTATTAATAGATTTTGGAGTGAAAGGTGATCTTTAGACAAATAATATGATTTTAAGCTGAAGGGAAGGCTGCTTCGTGCCACATAGTGCTTTGAACTGGATTTTCAAGTGCATTTATTAGATTGAATAATGAAAGTCAATGAGTTGCTGTCCCTCCTTTTCCACATAATGAGCAAGCAGGCATGAAGGAATCCTCCTGGGCTAACCCTGAAATTTAAAGTCAGCAACTTGTCTTGGATGCTCTTTAAACACAGCCTGTTCTTTTCTCTAAATCAGTTCTGTACAGTGGAAAATAAATGTGAAGAAACAAAATATCTGAATTCAAAACCATTGAGAACGTGAAAAGATTTTTTTAAAATTCCTCTCTCTCCAAAATCTCACTTCAACTGTGATTACTTAACCCTAATCTTGCTTCGGAGTAAATCTGATAAAAAGAATTGACACATCTCCTTCTCTCTGCCTCCCTTGGCAGTTCTGTGTGACAAGAGTCAGTCTAGATAGAAATACTGAGGACCTGCAGAAGCCGGGTGGCTTTCCGCACAGCGGCCACAGATGTGCAGCAGGGAGAGGGGTGGGAGTTCACGAAAGAGCACTATTGTCTCAAACTAGCCCAGAGGGTGAGCTTGGCCAGTGTCCCAGCAAGTGCCAGGAGAAAACACAAACTCCCAACAAACTCCAGCTCTGCCTTCTCTCACTCCTGGACAGGCCCTGACACTAGGGGCAAATCGTCCATGCAGAATTTCAAGTGGACAGATTTGGCTAATGAGAAACCTGACGTCCTTGTATCAGAAGAATCTTCTCATTACCAGTATTTAGGCGGTATTCTCACATATGCACGGGGGGAACACAGAAAAGGTTACCCTGAAGACCTGCAGTCACACACACCTTGTGACAAGAGAGTTCTTGAAGGGATGAAAATGAGATTGTGTTGAGGATATGTTTTTGGAGCTATGTGGAATGAGGGGTTGGGGGCGGGGTGATGAGTAACTCCCAAACACCCTTCCTGAGCACTCATGGTGTTGGCCAATCACAGTGTAGTCCAACCCCACTAAAAAAACATGGCGAATACCTCCAAGCCATTCAAGTACTATGTGTGGAACTCCTTGGCGTATTTTCAGAGAAGGAATCTAAGATACGTCCAATGATGAGATGATCTTGACTAGAATAATTAGATAATCTGTTAAATGTTGGTAATATAAAGTATGCAAGAAAATAATGTTTCTTATTCTCTTTCTCTTTGAACCTAATGTTCATGGGATCTTAATCCAAACATCCACTTGACCCGTATATGGTTTTCTGTGCTACTGACCTCATATGTGCAGCTATCAGAAAAGGTAACTATTGTAGATATTGGGGGGAAGGGTTGGTTTTTTTGAAACAGGGTTTCTCTGTGTAGCCTCGGCTGTCCTTGGTCTTGCTTTGTAGACCAGACTGGCCTTGAAGCCACAGTGATCCTCCCTCCTGCCACTGCCTCCCCAAGTACTGGGATTACAGGCACCACCAAGCCCACTTATCGTACATATTTTTGCACATCATGGGGTGAGAGCTGTTGCTCGGCAGTAGAGAGCTTGGCTTTGTACATGCAAGGCCCTTGGTTCAATTTTCAGCACATGTATCTTTCTGCCTTTGGTATATAAAGTCTTTTCCTAAGTCCAGGGATAGATTGATGGTCTGCAAAGAACATGTAACTCATTATAACTGTATACACATACACACATACATGTATACACATATGCATGAATATAATATAAAAACATATACAAAGATACACATGGATATGAGCATTTACTTATGCAGATAAATCTGTAAATATTCCCCCATGTACAAATGAGAAACAGCCATTTTAAAAAAGTAATTTCATTTGTATGAATGTGGATGTTGATGGCGGTATATACACATATGTGCAGGTACATGTAGTGGCCAGAAGAGGGCATCAGATCCCCTGGAGTTGCAGTTCAGGTGGCTGTGTGGGTGCTGGGCACTGACCTCTGATGGTCTGGGAGAGCAGCAAGTGCTCTTGATGTCTTAGCCATGTCTCCAGCCTGAAACAGCCTTTCTTACTTCTTGTTTCCCCACCCCACCCCATCCCTAACAACATGAGGGTTACAAGAGGTGACACTTGGTTTTGATAGCATCACTATTTCCAAGGCGGATTAGAAGAGCAGTAAGTGGGCCTCATGCAGAGGTGTTCTTGTTATAAATCAGAGTGGAGGTGGGGTGTGGTACCTCACACCTAAAATCACACCTAAAATCGTAGTTCTTTTAAGAACGAGGCAGGAGGATGATTAGTTTGAGGCCAGCTTGAATTATATATCAAGGCCCTGTGGAGGAAGGAAGGAAGGAAGGAAGGAAGGAAGGAAGGAAGGAAGGAAGGAAGGAAGGAAGGAAGGAAGGAAAGGAAGGGAAAAAAGTGAACAAAAATAACAGAGCGGGGAAAGAAGGAGAGAAATATGAGGATCTATCAAGTCACTGGCCTATGAGTGCCTTATATATTATTTCTTCTGCTAAACCAAGAACCACCCATCAGAACAAGAGGTTCACAGTCCTGGCTATAATTGAAATTACCCGGGGGAATTTATGCCAACATAATAAATATCCAGTTCTCAGCCCAGCCTGACAGGATCAGCGTCTGCAAGCCTGGGGTGGGAACCACTAGTATAAATGAGCCATGGTCCTCCCTACCTTTGTTCCACACTTTAAATGTTTCAGAGTTCTTTCTCTTAGTGATCTCTTTTGATTTCCAGACCAACTCTGTGAGGCAGATGAAGACAGTTGTTACCATATTGCTTGCTAGATAAAGAAACTGAGGATCAGAGCTGCAGAACAACCTGCCCAAAACACTGTGGCTTGTAACATAAGGGCTAGAAGTAGAACCAGTTCACCTAGAGAGATTGGTACTATTGCTAAAAGAGCTAAGGAAATGAGATCATAGAAGGCGTATGTTAGAGATGCTGTTCAGGCTTATTTATGGAGACAAACATTAACAGAGTAAAGAAACAAAGAGAGACAAATTAATAGATCATATGTACCAGGTCTGAGGAAAACATCTACTACCGATGTGGACATTGAAGCAAGCACATGGCATCAGGACTGGGGAGAGAGTTCAGTGGGTGAAGAACTTGCCCACCAGCTCTGAGTTCTATCCCCAGAATCCGTGTGAAGTGGTGGGGCATGCTTGTATCTCAACACTGGAGAAATAGAGACAGAAGGCTGACTGGGTTTGCTGGCCAGTAGGTCTAACCCAAACAGTGAGCCCCAGGCAAGATGAGACCCTGTTTCCCAGGAGATGAGCAGCATTCATACCGTGTCACCCAGGGTTGTTTTCCGGCCTCCACATATACTCCTACACATGTGTACTCTTCGACACACACACACACGCTCACGCACACATCGTGGACTGAGGTCTCCTGCTTCTGAACAGAATTGTGGATGTGCTGCCCACAGGGCATAAAAACAGGCATATACACTCAGCCTTTTCAGTAGTCCTTTTCTGTATAAATACCTGAAGTAAAGATTTTTTTTTTCCATTCTCACATGGCTTTAGGAGGAAGAAATCGTGGACTGGTGGAGTAAATTTTATGCTTCCACGGGGGAGCATGAAAAATGTGGACAGTATATTCAGAAAGGCTATTCCAAACTCAAGGTACTTGGACCTATGCTGTTGTGGGTGGGGAAAAGCCAGTCCCACCATGCTCAAGGCCCTGAGTTTACAAGGCCTCATGGTGGCTGCCTACAGAGAGAGGCCAGGAGTGCCTCTGCTCTCCTGGAGAGGCCTCTTGCAACAGGCTTGCCTTTGCCAAGTAACAAGGCCTTAAGGAAAGTTGCTGAGTTACGGTTGCGTGACTGCCACTTTGGGGCTCGAGGGCATCTGGCAGCAGGTTAGGAATGGGTTAGTTCCATACTAACCAGGCCAAAAATTACCCAGAATTGTTGTGCTCAGGGAGACCCAGAAGTCACGGTGCCCTTTGCAAAAGGAAAGATGTCAACACGCTTCATTTCATCTTCCGAACAGTGATCAGCTTTGCTAAATGAAAAGTTGATTCTGTTACATGTATGCCTCGTCACATCACAGCCATGGGCACAGGTGTGCAGGAGGAAGCTGCAGAGCCGGGCAGGGATGGCTATCTGGGCTGCTCTGTTCATGCTCTGAGCTTTCCAATTCTTTGTTCAGTTGCTGACTCTGTCAGCTGCAAATCCAAAGTCGTCAGAGCAAGGCAGAGTAGAAAAATTAAATGAGAAACACCTGGTACTAAAATCATTTCCCCACCAAAGTAGAAGGGCCCATATCCTTGCTTGTTGATGGCATAACATATTTGTGTGGCATAAACACCAGCATGGAAGAGATAGAAAACTAAGATCGGGCTGAGGGGACAGACTCACGTTCCTTCTTCCTCTCTCCCACGACTCCCCTCCATCCCTTTCTTTCTCTCTCTCCCTCTTGTCCATCTTTCTCTCTTGTCTAATTTTTTCAAAATCAAGGTATGATTTATGTGCCATAAAGTGAGCCTTCCACCAAGCTTTGATGCTGTATACATCTGCATGGAGCAGCACCCACAGCCAGGGGAAGCCCATTTCCACCCACAGGAAGCTCCTCTGCGCTCCCTTCAAGCTGTCCGTCCATGACTGCACCCCTCTGGTGGACAGCTGATCTGATATCTAGCAAGTTACACCGGCCTCGACTGCCTGTATGCTCCGTATAACTGGACTCACACCATAGTCCTTCTGCATTGAGCTCCTTTGGTCCCATAGTCTGCTTTTGAGGCATGTCATGTCATTGTAGGTATCATTAGTTTGTCTCTTCTTGCTGAACAGTATTGGAGCAGACTAGAATGGGGGTGGATCACATTCACACTCTATCTCACCTTCCCCTCCTCCCTCCCTTTTCCCCTTTTCCTTTCTCTCTCCACAGTTTGCTGACTCATTTCTCCTGACCCTGGACATTCTTGAACCATACGGACATGCTTTTATTTCTCTTTGGTAAAATCCTAGAAACACCATTTCTGGATCCTAGGCTAGGAGGATACTTAACTCCCTAAGGGAACGTGGCACCCACCAGGTGGCTGTTCTGTGCTGAACCCACCAGTAGCACGAGTGTCCCAGGTGTTCCTTCGCATCCTCCTGCCTGCTGACTTGAAACTCCTCCTGTGTTTTAATGAGAGTCTGCTGTTGGGCTTTCAGATCTATGACTGTGAACTGGAGGACGTAGCCGACTTTGAAGGCCTGACAGATTTCTCGGATACCTTCAAGTTGTACAGAGGCAAGTCCGATGAGAATGAAGATCCATCTGTGGTGGGAGAGTTTAAAGTAAGTAAAATGTGTGTGTGTGTGTGTGTGTGTGTGTGTGTGTGTGTGTGTGTGTGTTTGTCCTTCGTAAAATCCATTTTCATTTCTTTGGTTGATCTTGCATGAAAGACAGCTGATGTCTGCAGCTGGACATGTCCTCTGTCTTTTGCAGGAGGAAAAAGCTGCCCATAGGAAAGGGGCAAGGGGGCAAAGGGGAGCCAGGGTATTGCTGCTCCCTGCTTGTGTCAGCCAGTCTTGAATCCTCCAGACCTTTCTAAGACCTACTTGCTCCTCTGCTCTTCTGCCCTCTGGGGTTTTAGCAGAATCACTGTGGCAAATTCCCAGGCCACCTTTCCCCTCCCAAACAGTTCATCCTCGCTGCAACCAAATTCCATCCTGCATCTGAATGGCTTCAACACACCTCTTGCATTCCATAGCTCAGGTCTCAACTCCTTCCAAAGCTGAGCCCGGCCTTTCACAAGCCGTGTGTCCTTCCCGCATGGAAGAACCACTCCCAGGTCCCAAACACGCCTTGCAAGTCCTCTGGATGGATGTGCAGGGCCTTGGGCCAGGCTGTTCTTCCTTCCCTAGGTGCCCTTCCTGTCCTCCCTGCGGTCTGACTAAGCCCTGCTCATGCTCTAAATCAGCTCGAATGTCAGTATTTGTCAAGAGTCCTCTGGTTGCTTTGGGCAGCATGACTCACCCATGCTCTGGGCTCCCACAGGTCTGGGTTCACGTCCTGTCAGGTTTGATTGCTGCTTCTCCTCCCAAGCACATTTGGCAAAGCCAGGGCACCTAACACTGCCTCTTCCTAATCCTTTGCCAATAGCAGACATGGCTAATGGATCAGGGGATTACAACCAACACAGGGTCTCAAATCCTCTGCACCCCAGCCTTCCACTAAGCCCACAATAGGGCACAGAGTCAAGCTAATCTAGCATCTTGTGCCACACTCTGGTTCTTGAGTTTTGGGTTCTCCACGCCCAGTATTCAATGGGTGCTTGCTTCATGACATATCCCTGAATGCAGCTGGCCAGAACAAAAACCCAAATATCCTAATCCCAACTTAGATACCTTTCTCTATACCTAAGCTAGTTCCAGAACAAAGTACATAGTCTCTTCAGCTAAGACCTGAAGGCGAGCATGGATTTTTCCTGGGAGTGAGGCCCAGGCAAGCAGGGAATATTCCTGTCCCCAAAATAATCTTGGCTCTTCACTTCTTTTTGCCCTCACACTGACCCGTCACCTCCATTCCTACCCAAGTTATTGCCTGCTTCCTAACCAGCCCTTTTCGAAAATGATGGCTATAGTGTCCTGTCGTGTTCCCAGCTGGAATCACACAAGGGCCAGGGCATGCTGTCTCTGCCACAGAGACAGCCCCGCATTGCTCAGCTGCGTGAGATGTACTCTGAAGAGCGGGATGTCCCCTAAGAGCTCTCTACCCAGCATTCAAGGCCCTTGAAGTCATCAGCACATGTCCTTCTCTTTCTCTTCAGGGCTCCTTCCGAATCTATCCCCTGCCGGATGACCCCAGTGTGCTGGCCCCTCCCAGGCAGTTTCGAGAACTGCCTGACAGTGTCCCACAGGAATGCACGGTTAGGATTTACATTGTTCAAGGCTTAGAGCTCCAGCCCCAGGACAACAATGGCCTGGTAAGAGTTTGGGTGTGGGGCCTTCTCCTGTAGCAGGATAATTACAGTCATCAGCCATGGTAATTGTCACCTTCTTTCTTTCTGGGCGTCTGTTATCTCACTAGGAGAAAGATACTCTATCAAAACAATGTGAACAGGGGGATTGTCCCCACGGGGATTTACCTAAGAGGTTTGGTTGGCGGGGGACATGCTCAGGGCTCCCTAGTTCATCCATCTCACGTTACTGATGTGACCCAGGACAAGATTTGCTCCAGTCACAGGACCAGCAAGAGCAAAGGCAGGTCATCCCTACCTCTACCCCACCCCACCTTTTCACCCACACAGTGCTTTGAAGGCACACTGGCCCCCTGCCACCCAAAGGAGAACCTCGTACCGAGCTCATCTTGGGCCCCCAGGTGCCCCAGCAGCCACCTTTGGCATCAGTTGGGAGTTTAGTAGCAAGCCAAGTCTATCCCAGAAATTGACTTCAGTTTGCACCCTGTGATGACATAACACCTCACCTGTCTTGTCTCCGCAGTGTGACCCTTACATAAAAATCACCCTGGGCAAAAAAGTGATTGAAGACCGAGACCACTACGTTCCCAACACTCTCAACCCAGTGTTTGGCAGGTAACATAGGCTTCGAAACGTTCCTTCTTCCTAAAATGTGCCCTGCCCTGTTCCAAGTCCCACCGCCAGGAGTATGTACGGATCTCTTCAGAGCCAGTGTAGGTAGAGGTAGAAGGACTGAAAAGTACCATGAGGAAAAAAGTCACAGGACGGGTTTCTCTGACTCAAGATCTGTCCCAAGCCCTTGGGAGGTGGAAGCAAGGCCTCAAGGTGCACTGGGTTTATGGAGAGGTTCAGCTTCCCCCGACCCCCCGACCCCCCAAAAAATCTTATTTTCACTTCCAGAGACTAATTTGAGCTCTGTTTACTGGACTATTTTAGTTCTCTCCTTTTGATCCACTGAATGTGTCACTGACAGGATAAATATTCTGTTTTATTGGTTTCTAATTCACCCAAGATTCTTGACACAGCATTGTTTTCCTCAAGGTTACAACCTTTACTTGTTTCTGAACTATCATATCTACATTTTAAAGATACTTTTATTTTTCTCGCTTTTGTGAACATGGGTGTGCATGAAAGAATTTGGGTCTCTGCTTCTACCATGTGAGTCCCAGGGAGGCTCGACAGCAGCAGCCTTTACCCATGAGTCCTCTAACCGACCCTGTTAAGTAAATCTCAGAGCTGTTTCTGCTTACCAACGTGATCTTTAAATTAAACCAGCATTATTCAGCTGTGAGCACCTTCCCTATTTCAGAGCAATATTAGTGAGCAGCTCCTCTGCTGAGCTGTTTCTAGAAGACATCTCAGAAAGCCCATGGAACTCTGACGGGGACAGAAACAGGCTCAGAGAGAGGGTGTGCCTAACAGCTTCCTGCTCACAGGCGGAGGCCATGATCCCAAGCCTTATGAGCCAGTGTTTGTGCGGCTTCAGCACTGCACCCTGCTCTGTCAAGGCCTGGGTTTCTTCTGTGTTAGATACACTAGCCAGGCATAGGCTTTAAGACATGTGATTGAGACAGAGGGAGGTAACCCTTCCTAACTCCAGGGCTTTCCCAAGCCCTCGGCGACACTTCATATTCACAGCAAAGCTACCATCTGTAGGAAACTGTTTCTGCAAATCATTTGAGGAAGGGCTGAGGAGATGATTCTGTGGGTAAAGGGTGTGCAAGCATGAAGAGCTGAGTTTGGATCCCCCACTCTTCTATCTGTAAAATAAGGTAGAGAGCAGATGATATGGCTCAGTGGGTCCAAGATGTGGCCACATGGTTCTGACATTTCAAATTTCAGATACAGTGGTGTGCATCCTGGAGCAGAAGAATCATCCAGAAACTTTCTGGCCAGCTAGCCCAGGCTATGCAGTACAGAGCAGAAACAAGAGAAATCCTGCCCGAAAAGGGCAGGAGGCAAGAACTGACTCCCCAAAATTGTCCTCTGACCTTAACCCACTCGCTGCTCCACACACCTCCCCTCTCCCTATTCACAAAATTAAGAATTAAATAAATCTGTTTCAGTCTTAAAAGCAGTGGTGAATGATAACGGAAGACATTATGGCCTCCACATGCACAGACAAGCGCACCAGTGTGCTATGTGTATCTACACACAGGTGCACAGACAGGGAAACGGTGTTAATCTCTCAACATTTTGTTAAATGGAAGAGCACTGTTCCCGTTTGCCCTGTACCCGACACACTCATTACTTTATGCCTTATGTTTATTCCTCTCTGTCTTTCTCTGCCTATGTGTCTGTCTCTATCATGCATGTTTGTATACACACACACACACACACACATACACACACACACACACACACGTTGGGCATCCAGTTTTACAGTTTTAGGTTCAGGAACCCAGACGTACAAAGGACCACCCAGTCAGCCCCTAGCATGTTTACATACGTGCACACACATGCATATCGTCAGACACCTGAACTTGAGCACCCTGCGTGCTGCACACCCCTAGGCTCCGAGTGCTGGGCCCAGGGAGGGGAAGTAATCCTCTGGCACAGGAATGTGATCATTTTCCCTTTCTTCCGCTGATCCAGCCCCTAGGTCTAGACAGGAAAAGGCACGCAGGGCAGGAAGGAGGGCTCCATGTGAGGGAGACTGGGAAGCAAAGGAGAGCCAGCTTTGAAGGGAGAAAGGCCGCCCTGTCTGAATGGCTTGCTTCAGAGGTGCCAAGCACAAGCTTAATTAAGTGGCAGGAAAAGCCTCGCTCAGAGCCACGCTGGGAGGAAGTGTTGCTGTCAGGCTCTGCTAGACCAGCGGCTCTCTCGGGGGATGCACAGACTTCCCTCCATCCATCAGAGTGGCTCCAGGCTGGGACCTCAGTCTTGGGAAGTGGCTTGCTTCTCAGCAGAGAGACTCTGGGATAGGACTCAAGAGGAAGAAGCCTGATTTCCTGTGTTCTCAGCCATTGTTCATCTTGGCTTCTCTAGGTCACGTTCACTCCTAAGTATTGTCCTCTAACCTCCACGTGTGGGTTGTGGGTATCTATATTCACCCACATCATCCACACAATAACAATAAACTCTAAAATATTTCTTAAAAGAATTGATGTCTCAGGGAGAAAAATATTCCTTAGTCAAACCATAACACCCGAGATATATGGAGTTGTTTTTGTTGTTGTAGTTGTTTGCCTTTTGTTTTTCCTTGAGACAGGCTCTCACAGTGTACTCCTGGACATTTTAGAACTTACATAGACCAGGCTGGCATCAAATTTGCAGCAACCCTCTTCTACCCCTAGAGTGTTACGGTTAAGAGTGCACCACCAAAAAAAAAAAAGAAAAAAAAAAAGAGTGCACCACCATGCCCAGCTTACTATTTTTCTTTTTGTTGTTCTTGGGTTTTTTGTTTTTTTGTTTTTTATTTGTTTGTTTGTTTTTTAAACACCGGGTCTTTCTACATAGCTCTGACTATCCTGGAACTATGTAGACCAAGCTGGCTAACAGAGATCCACCTGCCTCCGCCTCTCAACTGCTGGCACTAGAGGTGCATGCCACAACACCTGGCTATTTTTCTTTTCAGTTTTTAGAAGATTTTTATGTGTGTGAGTTCCTGGGCTGCATGCATGTCTGTATTCTGTGTGCACACCCAGAACCCACACTGGCTGTGATGCTTTGTGTGTAATTGTGACACATGTACCCCTTTCCTGCAGTCACCTGCCTGCCTCAAGCCTCGGGGTAGCCGTTGCATGGAGGGAGGTCTCTCTGAGATTGGTGCAGGAGACATCCGGGAGGCTTTCTTCCAGAGTGCCATTAAACACTTATCCCTGGCTCACTTGGCAAAAGCCTGTCCTCACACCGAGTGAAGCAAGAAAGGAAGGAAGCCCGGGAGAGGGGACCTTTCACAGTTTTTCTTTCAGTCAACTCTACCGAGCACCTGGCATGAGAGGGATACATGGGAACAGTATCCCTCGGCTAAGCCCTGCCTATCTAGAGCTGACATGTGCCTGTCAGCCTCCCCCAGACCACAGAGTTCTCCCAGCAGCAGAATGGCTGCTGTATTGTCTCTCTATATCTCAGAAGAATTTACATTTTAATGCAGGTTCCACAGACAACTTTTAAGAACTGAATGAAGTGTGTGGCAGTTGCAGAGGGCCTGGTAGACTCCCCATACGCCATGCTATACAAGTTCGCTCACGCCCTCGCGCCCTTCTAGAGGGCTGGGTCAAGTTTTTCCTGGGGCGGGGGTCTCTCATGAAAAGAGTAAGGAATGAAGTGAGGTACAGAAAGATGGCCGTAGGTGAGGTGCCTGATTGATCTTCCGGGAGAGAGGGGAAAGGTCCTCCAGGTGATAGACAAGTGATAATAGTAAAATTAGCAATATAATTTATTATTGTTATACTAAGTTTTACCCAGTGCACTCTTACTGAATGTTTCTTAAACATCTCTTCACTTGACTCTTAGAATAAAATAGGAGATGTGTGATAGGATCATTTCACAGAGGCGGGGAAAAAAACTGCAAACAGAAAGGCTAAGAAAGTGGCGTAGCTGGGATGCGAACATGCGTACACTCAGCCACGCTTTTCTTCTGAGAAAACGCGCATTCCCTTGTTGTTCTTTTACTTGTGTCTTGCTGTTTATCATGTTTCCCAACCCACACCAGTTGTCCTAACCATTCTCTCCCCCACAACATTGCCACTGCTTGGAAATTCTTCGTTTGAGTCTTGTTTTTTGGAGCAGCCCCGAAAGCCCCTGGTCATTGCGCATGCGCATCTCTTTACTTAGAATGTACGAACTCAGCTGCTACTTGCCTCAAGAAAAAGACCTGAAGATCTCTGTCTACGACTACGACACCTTCACTCGAGACGAGAAGGTGGGGGAAACGATCATCGACCTGGAGAACCGCTTCCTCTCGCGCTTCGGGTCCCACTGCGGCATTCCTGAGCAGTACTGTGTGTAAGTCGCCTCCCTGTGAGTGCAGGTGGTCCGCTGTGCCCGAGGCTCACCCCTGGGGAGGCTGTGGAGCCCTGCCTCCCTCGGTGCCTTGCTTTGGTGTGCCATGATGTTTCGGTCCATCCGGCGTCATTTTGACAGGAGTGTCTGAGGACAAATCAGGGCAACCACATTGCCTCATTCGCGTCATAGTTTGTTGAAATGGTGGTGTCTGGAACAGTGCAGCGGCCTCTGTGTGACCTGCTCAGAGAACCACTTCCCTCTCCTGTTTTTGAGCTCCTGGATGCCAGGGACTGAGGCTAGACAAGCATCATGGAAGGAATTCTCTAGCCTTTAATACAGGGATTGATTATTAACTACCGATTATACACACACACACACACACACACACACACACACATACACACAAGGATTCTATGATATCTAGTGTCCCCTGCTGCTAACCAATGGCTCTCTAAGCCTCCAATGAGACATGCCACTTCCAGTTTTTTAATTTGTCTTTATGACTGGGGTGATCCCAGGTTCCTCACTTTTGTTGAGAAAGGAACTAAACACAAAACAATAAATGTGATGAGTTGACCTAAAGCCAAAGTCAGTGTGTGGGTTTTACACCTCTGAGATAGGTGTCTGGGAGGGAAAGTGGGTTAGGCATGTCCCTCCTCAGTTAGACGGGTGTACTTGGAACACGCGTGCATTTGTGTGGAACGTTGCGCTGCCAGGGCCCCCGGGGCCCCCAGTAACTCCAGGACCTGTGGTATTGTCCACAGTTCTGGCGTAAACATCTGGCGAGATCAACTGAGACCAACGCAATTGCTTCAAAATGTAGCCAGATTCAAAGGCTTCCCGCCACCGGTGCTCTCGGAAGATGGAAGCAGAATCAGATACGGAGGTCGAGACTACCATCTGGATGAGTTTGGTGAGTGCAAAGCTGTGGGTTGTGAGCACAATGCAATGACCCTTTTCTCTTGCTGCATTTGGAGGAGGAATATGAGCTAAGGCGACACCCTGGTGAGACTGTACGTCCGCCTTACCAAACAGAAACCACAGCAGGGTAGAGTTTCTTCGGCCATCAGGTGTCACAGTGGACACATCTTCTTTATCTGTCTTGCAGCTCACCTCCTCTTCTCAGATCATAGACATTTGAACTTTAAAGTTCGAATAATTAGCCAATTTTCCTGTAGTACATGATTAGCTCAAAAAATGTTTCAATGGCAGTAAAAGAAATCCTGTCCCACAGAGACTTCATCATAATTGGCAGTGGTAGTGCACGCTTTTAGTCTCAGCACTCCAGAGGCAGAGGCAGGCAGAGCTCTGAGTTCAAGGTCAGCCTGTTCTACAGAGTGAGTTTCAGAGCATTTCCGGCAGGGAAGCCTCTGGGTCCACAGCCTCCTCTCAAGAAGAGCAACTTCCCTCAGAGAGAGTGACCTAGAAAACCAGGCAGGAGCTTCCTGGCCTTTCATGATTAGTCTTAAAAAAAAATAGAAATAAAGAGAAAAACAACAACAACAAAAACCCCCATTCTCTTTTTCTCTGGTTTTACTCTGTCTCCAGATTAAAGGGGAATAGATACAGATCACATTTCTTCTGGGAGAGATGTCTGGGAACTAGGGTGACCATGGCATTCCTTAGGGTGCAGTAGGAGCTGACCGTCCATCCATGCAAGCGCACTGTGGAGTGAGGGCACTTTCCTCCCATAGCTCTGCTACTCTTCAGCGCAATCGCCCAGGCTTTTATCCTTTAACAGCCAGAAGAGAAAGGCTCAGATTGCAGCTGCGCAGAGGCTGAGGCCAGAGGTGACACACCATGCCATTCTACCCGTGCTTTCTTCTAGTGGAACTTGGCCTCGCAGCCACATCTGACTGGTTACAAGGGGGGCTAGGAAATAAGATGGTTGTGAGCCTGTGCTACAAAAGTAAATGCAGACTGTACTTACCCGTTCTAGTGTTATTCTGGCCTCTGGTGTTGTCAGACTACAAGGTGGGTATGAGCCTCAGTAGGGAAGGGTCCATAGTCAAGAGCTCGTCGTATCCATTTGCTCCTTCACATGTCCACGCTGACACTGCATAATACTGGAGATGCTGGTCTGTTTTTACAAAGTTTGGGATGACAGGCTACAAGTTGCTGGGATCTATCTGGCTACACTATTCCTGATTTTGCCTCCCCATCCCAATGCTACTTTGCATTCTAGAAGCCAACAAAATCCTGCACCAGCACCTTGGGGCCCCCGAAGAACGTCTTGCCCTCCATATTCTCCGGATGCAGGGCCTGGTCCCTGAGCATGTGGAGACAAGGACTTTGCACAGCACCTTCCAGCCCAACATTTCCCAGGTAAAGCAGAAGACCCACTACCTACTCCTCAAATGCAGTGACGGTCACTGGTGGATTTGCCTCTTGAAACATTTCTGAGTACTTTTAGATACACAAGAAACAGAAAAGAAACTCAAACCGGCTTCATCCCAAAGGAGTCTATTGCAAAGATTTTCAAGGATCTTGTTAAACACTGATAAGAGATTATCTACAGTTCAGAGCCATCTCAAGCCAGGGTCTGCCCTTATCTTTCTCTCTGTTTCTTTTCCTGGTTCTATTTAATCCTTTCTCTTGCTGTTACTACATTCCTACGAGCCTGAGTACTGCAGAGAGCTCCGGAGTACTTACTTCTGTGTTGTGTACTCAGGCATTGGTTGTCCCATTGCGGCCTGCTTGTCTTCCAATGGAACAGCCAGCTGTAAACAGGAGAGCAGACTGAGCTTGGCCTAGCCTGGGGAAGAGGCGCCATCTGAGTCTAAAGAGTTAAAGAAGCAGGGGCACAGTGCACAACCACTAGGTCAAAGAGACTGTGTGTGCAATGATGGAGTCTAGTCAACCCGCAGAAAACGGGGCCCAGTTTCCAAAGAAGCAAAGTGGAGACATTAAAAAACTAATCCGCGAAAAAGCTTGTTACAGTGAAAGTTTCCTGGCTCTGTCTACAGAGGTTTAGGCACCAGAGATCTGGGGTAAGACCAGGAGTGTGAATTTTAAGACACACCTCGAGGGGCTCTGATATAAGTGGCTAAAAACTCACACTTTAACAAATGTTAATTTACTAGAGGCAAATATCATCAGTACCTACTATAAGAGTATGGGCATACTTATCACTCAGAAGTGGCCGTAACTTCTAGATAATTTTCTCACTTCACGTTTATCCTGTGCTGTACTTCGATTTCTTCTTGTTCGTGTTCCTCCTTCTTTGTACTCTAAGCCTATTCATCCTCCTCTCTTTCCTCCCACCCATCAGTCATAGATGGAGTCTCAAGAATTGACAAAGTAAGGAAGATTTCTCCCTGAGAAGGTACCAGCCTGCCTTTGCTTCTGCCTGCAGTCTGTGACTTAATCTTAGGAGACGCCTCGATGCTTAATGTCCTGTGGTGCGCCTGATGTAGAGTAGTGCCCCGAGCCTAGAGATTAATTGGAAAGGAGTCAGGATCACAGTAAAATATATTCTCTCTCAAAGGTCCCAGGTAATTCATTTTGATCGCAGTGCATTAGGAAGCCAATCCAGTGGTTTCCTTGGCAAACTTCTCAAAGACCAGTCTCTGTTTGTCTGAAGGCAGAGTCCATACAAGATCCAAAAATAATGTAGAGACTATAAATTGATTTGAATGGTTGGATAGTTTTTTTTTTTTTTTTAACTGGCATTCATAGCCTGTCTGGAAGGATATTACAGTGAAGTAGACAGGCTCAGTCCATAGTAGTCAACGATGAGAACAGGGTCTCCCCAAGATGGCAGCACAAGCGTCAGCCCAGGTCCTGCCTCTTCCTCTCATATGAGCCTCTGGAGGTACACTGCTAACATAGGGAATCCTTACTTTCTGGAAACTGAGTCACGATTTGAATATTTTAGCATCTCCTCACAGAACTGTGTTGTTTTTCGTTTACAAGGCTAGTTGCCATTTTGTTACTCTGATTTTTTTTTTTTTAACCACTTGAGGCAAGCGGAAAATCCATGGGATTGGAACTGTGTTAGGTAAGCAATGTGACAATGGCTAGAGTGGCAGCATGAGGGGGAAAGACCCAATTTTAAATCTTTGAGAGAGAGAGAGAGAGAGAGAGAGAGAGAGAGAGAGAAAGAGAGAAGAGAAAAAGAGGGAAAGAGAAAGAGAAGAGAGAAAAAGAGAGAGACAGAGGGAGAGATTTCATTACCAGTTGGGTTAGTAATAGGAGTGCCCTCATTTCATTAATGAAGGCAATTTCAGACCTTGATGCAAATGGATGAATGCAGCTATGTCACTCTTGGGTGAGAGTGGAAAGTGACTGACCTAGATGTTGTTGTAGACAAGCTTGACATTGGCTATCTCTTTTACTCCTTTGTGGCCTTCCATGTGGAGCAATAATCAGCATGTAGAACTGATTTTATAGCTCTATAGTAGAGGGCTCTCCTAGCATGTGGGAAGCCTGGGGTCCATGTTCAGTGCTGCCAAGGAAAAGGAAAACTGTGGCTTCGCCCGTATCTGACTCCAGCCTTCTCTTTTTTGTGTGTACGGTTTAGGGAAAACTTCAGATGTGGGTAGATGTCTTCCCCAAGAGTTTAGGACCACCAGGCCCCCCTTTCAACATCACTCCCAGGAAAGCCAAGAAGTGAGTAAACCCCAAACTCTGCTTCCTGGAGCGAGGACTCTGTCTAGGGATAGAAGAAGTATGCTTACAAAATGTGCGTTTTGTTTTTCAGATACTATCTGCGTGTGATCATCTGGAATACCAAGGACGTTATACTAGATGAGAAGAGCATCACTGGAGAGGAGATGAGTGACATCTACGTTAAAGGGTGAGGCCAGCAAACAGAGATTCCGGCAAGCTGGGGAACACTATTTGAGGTGCCCACTGAAGCGGTCTCGCTTACCAGAAGCTGCTGTTTACAGTGTGATATGCTTAGGGAATGCCAGGAAGGCAAAATGCAGGAGAGACAGAGGAGAAAAAAGAAAGCTGTCTAGACTGTGTTGATGGGCAGGATCCTTCTCAACTCACTCCTCTTTAATTCTTTTTTGCTAAGAGTTATTTCTGAGACTTCTTAGCCATGTGTTTTCTCTTTTTTTCCCTTTTTTTATTTTTTATTTTTGTTTTCGATACAGCGTTTCTCTGTGTAGGCTTAGCTGTCCTAGATCCTCTTTGTAGACCAGGCTGGCCTTGAACTCACAGAAATCTGCCTTCCTCTGCCTCCCTGAGCACTGGGATTAAAGGTATGCACCATCACTCCCAGCTGCCATGTAATTTGTTATTTCTCTAACCTTAAAACCCCAGTAAAGATCGCAAATTTTCCTTTCTATACATTTTACTGTCATTAGCCAATGTTTGTGGAAAGTAGGCAACGTTGACAGGCTTTTAAAAAATAATGCAGCCCACTGACATTTGCTGAGTGTCCTTCTCCAATATGAAAATGTCATGCTTATAACTCTCTTATTTGTATAATTGGATTTCAGGTGGTCTGTGCTCATGTTAGTTTCTGCCATGCTGTGATAATAGATTCATAGATGCTGAGAATGCAAGTGCACAGTGGTTAAAGAGCCAGCCTTTGCAGCCGGACCGCCTGTGTTAGAATCCTGGCACTTTTCCTACTAGTGCAGCGGAGAGATAATGATAGTGCTACTTCCTGGAGATAGCCAGAAAATTCCATTACTCAAGGCATGTAGGATAGCACCTGGCAGCTGGTGTGCATTACGTGGGTGTTAGAATTATTGCTATTCCACAGGGACCAAGTTCTTCCTTAATATGTAGAAGATAAGACGTGTTGAAATGTAACTCATTCATCAATGAGAACAAAGTTTCCCTCAAGATCTCTAGTGAACTTCAATCAAAACTTAGAGCTGTAATGACTATCATTTAAACTCACTGTAAACTTCATCAAGTTCTTCATTATTGTTTGCCATTTCAGGACTCCATCACCATTCCCCCCAGGAAAACCAATTGCAGCTAATGATAGCTTTGCAAATTTATTTGACTGTCATAAGAGTCATATCAAGGTAACAAACTGAAGCTGTGATTGGCTGAGAGAAAGCTAGTAGAAGAATAACATTCGCCCTAAGGTAGCATGTAAAGTCTGCAGTTACAATTTGAATACCAAGACTGGGAGCCCAACTTACTTAGTTTGAGAATCTGGCATTTTGCTGCTGTTAGTTGCTTGCTTGCTTATTAGTTTGTCTTTTAGATAGGATTTCATACAGCGTGGGCTAACCTCAAACTTCCGATGTAACCAAGGATGGCTTTAAACTTCTGATCCTCCTGCCTCTGACTCTACCTCCCAAGTCTTGGAATTACAAGTATAGCCTACCATCTGGGTGTGGTGGCACATGCCTTTGATCCCAGCACTTGGGAGGCAGAGGCAGGTTCGAGGCCAGCCTGAGTTGAGGATCTCGAACTCTGCCCTCACATCGACTCACCACAGGCAGAGAGGACAGGGGGAGACCTGAGGTCAAAGCATCACAGCCAGGCTCTCCACCTTTTGATCTAGGAATTGATACTTTTCAAAGTTTCCCAAATGATTCTAATGCAGTCCTACCTGCCTATTGAAAAGTATCAATTCTTTTTTCATTTTGTTTTATTTTGTAATTTTTTTAAAGACAAAATTTCTTTGTCCTAGCCCTGATGGTCCTAGAATTCACTTTGTAGACTAGTGTGGCCTCGAACTCAGACTGCCGGCCACCTGTCTCTGTTTCCCAAATCCTGTAATTAAAGGTGTGTGCCACTATGCCTGGCTGAAGAAAAGTCAGTTCTTAGTTTCAAATCAGAGGCAGGCATTCATTCCATCCACACATAGTTTATCTTATAACCATTCCGTGCCAGGCACAAGCAAAAGAAAATGTTCCCAACAATATAAGTTAAGATGCTGTTGATGAGAGGAATGTTCTCAGCCAGCATCTGTAAATAATAACTTGCCTCTTCCTTGCCCATCTCATTAATGAGATCACAGTGAATTTTAAGAATAATAAAAAAGGAAGCTGTGAGATTACTTGCCAGGTGCCTCTTTTTGTTTGCTGAAGTAAAATATGTGGAGGGAAATGCTAAAATTTTGAGCTAACTTGCATTCGTTGAGCCGACCAGCCCTGATGATAGACGCTAATGAGTCATAGTTGCGAAGCCCAAAATCATAGCCAACAAACTGCAGCTTACTCAAAATAGAAGCTACATTGTTGATGATATTTTCCAGAAAATTTCACCTTAGCCCTGCTAACTACAGTCTAAAGGGTTTCCTGCTTTGGTTTTAAAGGAATTCTATTTTATTTGGCTCCGAGCTAGGCTGGATGCAACTGAGTGCCTCCCCTTCATAAATCACCTCCAGCCTGCGATCACTGGACCCTGCCCAGAGAAAAACGCATCACTCCAGATCCTCGCCAGCCCTAACCACGGCACTTCTGCAGCTAGATCCCCTGTCAATCACAGCGAGCTGAGTCTGTTTGCCTCTGCTTTACAGCTGGATTTCCGGCAGCGAAGAAAACAAACAGAAAACAGATGTCCACTACAGGTCCTTGGATGGTGAAGGCAATTTTAACTGGAGATTTGTTTTCCCGTTTGACTACCTCCCCGCTGAGCAGCTCTGTATAGTCGCTAAAAAAGTAAGCCCTGAAAGATGTGGGCGGGACGTGGACATTTCTGGGTCTGCTCAGAAACTCAGAGGAGGTCAGGGCTGCTTGGACCCGGGAGGTCACTGAGTCCAGCTCCCTCTTGGCGCTGACAGAGAATCTGAGACCCACAGAGGGGTGAAGCCTTGCCCGTGGTCACATAGCTATGACAGGTATTTATTTGAGTATTTAGGGCTGTGAGGAATGCAGCTTCCTTTCTGCTAACCTATTGGCAGCAAGGCAGACAGAACAAAGGCTTTTGTATCATTGTACACTGTGTTCTTTACGGAATGAATCAACGGTTATTCTCCGTCTTAGGCCAAACACAAGCCAAATATTAAAGGTGAGGTGTCCCTTTTTGCCTCTCTGTTAAGGCTCAGCGTCTGTGTTCTCTCACTCAGAAACACTTCTAGGAGGGTTGAGGGCCCCAGTGGACTTAATTAGAAAGACTTTCAGTTACAGAACATAGACCAAAAATGTGATTTATTGGTTCCCATTCCTAGCAAGTCCAAGGTTGGCTCATTTTAGGAACGTCTGGAGCCCATGTAGGAGCAATGTCTTCGGAGGTTGTTTCCACGTTCTCCTCCCTCTGCCTTCCATGGACCTCTAGGCAGGCTTTTCCCTCCAGGAGAAGATGTGGAAGCAGCTGCCCATGCCATCACTATATTCACAGCAAACCTCAGCAAGAGTAGAAATGAGCCACGATGGCCCCAGCTGGCATTCTAGAACTGGGCCCCAAGGTCTCTGCTTGTTCAGAGACTTGTGTCCCTCCCTGAACCAACTACCGGTTGCCCAGGATGCAGTGCTCAGGCCAGGCACTGGGATTAGAGATGGAGTCAGTCTTTGTCTGCTCCACTATCTTACCCCAAACCTTACACACACCCCTGTCAACTGGGGAAGGAATAGTTCTCCAAGGACAGTCTGGGGCCTGAAACCTTGGTAGACAATCCTATGATCCCATACCTAAGACTAGACCTCTCCTCCCTCAATGGTGCTTAGAGCATAACCCCCACACACACACACACACACATGGGACAACCAGTCAGGGAACTAGCTGTGTGGGCTTTTCAGAGTCCCTGGAGCCCTAAGAATGAGACCCTTCCAAGAATGTGAAAAGTGAGAACCAACCCCATGATCTTCTCTCAAATTTCCCGATCACTGGTAGAATTCCTGGTCTGCTCAGGCTAGAGGCATTTAGGTGTAACTGGCTGTGGGGGTATATTTTTTAACTAATGTCTGGCCGACACAGGGACTAGGGATGGGAACTTGGTCCTCTGTCTATCTACCTTCAATGTGAAGGAGCTGAGGGTCTCAGGTGGCCACAAGTGTATAAAAGTCCGAGTATTTTTTTTCCAAAAGCTAAAAATTCTAGGACATTTTAGCATATGTACCAAAGCAAGAGTAGACTCTGAGCCCTAGGCTGAACCTACTGCATGGGAGATGAGAGACTGTCAATCCAACCTTGGAGATGGGGGTGCGAATTTGTTCAACAGGGATAACGACCAAGCGATGACACTGTGGGCTGGCCTAGAACACCTAGCTTTAGGAGAGTCATGTGGCCTTCAGGGGAAAGGTTAAGCTCTTCCCGCCCCACAGGGGTGGCAGCAGGAAGTCACACTGGTAGGAATAGGGTGAGGAACCCGCTGTTTGGGAATTGTCTGGAACATCCTTCTTATCACCCCGCTGTTTGGGAATTGCCTGGAACTTCCTTTTAGTCACCCAGTTGGTGGCCTTGAGACTTCCTGTAGAGCCTGATGGAGAGGAGAGACCAGTTGTTCCATGGGATGTGGCGGCAGAGGCCTCAGTTTCATTGTTATGCCTATGGCTAAAAACGAAGGGTCTCAAAGTCTACTGACCAGGATTGTGTCAACCACTCATGTCTCTTCTCATTTTAGGAGCATTTCTGGAGCATTGATCAAACTGAATTTCGGGTGCCCCCTCGACTGATGATTCAGATATGGGACAATGACAAGTTCTCCCTGGATGACTACTTGGGTATTGTTACCTTCCGGGCACTCCTAACACTGCACTTGGAATTACTGAAACCTACTACAGTTTGGAAGCAGCCGGATACTTTCCTAACACCTGTAATGGGGGCGGTAGGAGGTGTGCCCACTGATTGGGTCTCCTCCGATTTGGGTGGTCTGCTTGTGAATGCTGCCCCTTTTCATGGGCCCTGCTCACTCTAAGGCCTCATTAACAAGCTAGAAAGGCAAGTACTTGTGCTCGCCCAACACGTACAAAGCTATGGGTTCAACCCTCAGGGCTGCTTCAACAGGGAATGGTGCTTGATGCGGGCCCTGGGAGGTGGAGACAGGAGGCTCAGGAATTCAAAGTTATTCTTGGCCAGATAGTGAATTAGAGGTCACCCTGGCCACAGAGAGATCATCAGCACGGCTCTGTCTGCATTTCCAGACTCTCTCTCTCTCTTTCTCTCTCTCTCTCTTCTCTTGGTACTTTGGAACTATTCTCACCAGCCCTCTCCTCACTCTTGCCAGTTACTATGGTCCCTTATGCTTCTTTGTCCCCTCCTTTTCTCTAAGCCTACCCTCCTCTGGCCTTGATGCATTCAACGCATGCTCCCTATTTAACCTCTCCCCTTCTTGGCTTGCTCTCCCTTCCACATTTTCAATCGAAGCTTTCCAGGAAGGTCTCCTGCAGCTCTCCCACCTCAGTTACGCATGTACTGCACTTCAGCTGAAGGTGAAATTCAACTTTCACCCATCGCCCGACTATGCATGGCTCCTAAACCAGGGAATATATGCTGGCCTCGCACAGCCCTTCACAAACACCTATAGGAAACTATTCAGAGGCTGGAGAGTTAATGTTCCTTCCAACCCACGGCAGAAAGTGTGTCTCTCCAGACACCCCGAGCCTGGCTGGGATTTCTCATTTCCTGGTGGGGATTATCTGTTGAGTTATGTTCTTTCAAGCTCCTGTTTCTGGGGTCACTCCAGGAGAGAGCTGTACCCAGAACGGTTCCAAGGAGCATCCCATGCTCCAAGGACCTAATTGCCTTTCCCCCAAAGGCAATGACCTCCGTTTAGGGTAGCTCCAAACCGCAACTAGTACCTCTCAAATACAAAGGTCCTGAGTTCAGTGGAAATGTTTGTGTGTAGATGTTTAACTGCTTGGGATTTATAGAAGGACTGTTTATGCTCACGTCTTTGAGAAAGGAAGCATGGAGTCCTCTGTGAGACACTGAGCAGTGGACAGCTATTTCTTCTGCCATCTCCCATCCTATCTGGAAAGAATTTAAACATCTAGCATGATCCCTTTTGCTAACTCACCCATCACCTGTTCAAAATCACTGTCTGTCTCTCCCAGACTGGAACATTCTGTTCACCTGAGAACAATGGCTGAGCCACTTGAAGCTCATCTGGATCTCATGTTGTGTCCTTGGCCAGGTTTTCTGGAACTTGACTTGCATCACACAATCATCCCAGCCAAGTCATCAGAGAAGTGCAATTTGGACATGATTCCAGACCTCAAAGCTGTGGACCCTCTTAAAGCTAAGACTGCCTCACTGTTTGAGCAGAAGTCCATGAAAGGATGGTGGCCGTGCTTCGCAGACAAAGATGGCTCCCGTGTGATGGCTGTATGAGTATTTCCTAGTTGGGGATCATTTCTATTCCTTACCAGTAGATTTACTCCAAATAAGATGAAAGGGTGATAAATAGACGGCACTGTGGCCACGTGCTTGGAGTTGGGGGAAGGGCATGGGTTAGCATGCTCAAGATCCAGGAACCAAGTGGCGGCACTTGCATTTCCTTAAGGCTGAACACACAGAGTAGGAAAAGAAACCCCCAGTGTGAGCTTTTCACGTCTTAAAGAGAAAAGGGTACGAGTGCTGAAACGAAATCCGTATTTTACAAGCATCTTGGAGAATTCAAAATAAGCTTTGGCAAGAAACCCCAGTGCCGGTCAGCAGTTACTGCCTACCTCACACAGTATGGACTGTCCCTAGCTAACCGTGTGAGCCAAGTAGCACGTTAGCTGCCTCACGCGTGTGACTCATTTCTAAAACAGCTCACCAGTCCATGTTAATTACCTGTTAGTGGAGTTAATGTGCAGCATAGTACGCACTGATCACCCTCCCTTTTCTTCCCTCTTCACCACACACCCTTTCTAGTCTTTAGGCTGCTTTGGGGTGGGAGCAGAGCTTTCACATAGGCAAGCATATGCTGCTGTCTGTCCAGTTCATCCCCAGAAGTTTCCAGTCCTTTGTGTCTCTATCCTGTCTTCAGGAAACTGTTGGTGAACTTTCTGTCACCATAGAGATTAGTTTTCCCAGTATCTTACTGGCGTCTGTTGACAGGCCTATGAGGTAGACTAAATCCCCGTTTTATGAACTCACCCTTGCAGGATCAGGTATCCATTTTCAACTGGCGTATAAGCAGGGGTGCTGCTCAGGGCCCTCCATCTAAATAAACCTTGGTGTCAGGGTTTCCCAAGTTAGTAGGGACCTAGAGGACTTTTCTACGTCCTAGAGTGTCAGATGCAACTTAGTGAAAGCTGGGTATAAAAGCTGGAAAGCTGCCTGATGTAGCGGTGCATAGTTTTAATCTCTGCCCTTTGGAGGCAAAGGCAGTCAGATCTCTGTGTTCGAAGCCAGCCTAATACACATGATGAATTCCAGGCCAGACCTTGTCTCAAAAAAAGAAAGAAAAAAAAGATTAGACTGTTAGATCCTTTTTGAACTTAGCATCCTCATCCACAAATAGAGACAACAGCTTTTTATTTTTATTTATTTATATTTTTTTGAGGATGCCATGAGCATTTCATGGGTTATCCACAGAGAGCACCTCCCTGCGTGGATGCAGCATGCAGCATGCAGGGACCTGTCAGCAGAGGAGCAGTCTCCATCCTCTCAGTGACGCAGCCAAGACACCTTGAGTGCCTACTAAGCGCAAGCTCTGCTGCACACTGTAGGGCTGCATGTAAGCAAGAAGAGACATAGCGCATCTCACGGGGCCTCCAACCATGTCCAGTGTTGTTCTTAGCAGTGAAGTTACAAAGGCAGCGAGAGAGGAGGCGAGGAGATTGATGTGGGGATGCTGAGAGCACAGGGATGCTGAAGAGGGAAAGTAATTTGTCCTCTCCGTTTCCCACATGGAGCCGGTTTAGAAACACACGGGAGAGGAAATGTGAAGAAACCTCTGGAGGAAAATTTGAGGCAATCTAAGGATTGTTTTACAAGAATAAAAATCGTGGCTTGGGGAATATTCCTTGGGCTGAAGTGAAAATATTTGTGAAACGTGATGTCATGTGTTTAACCTGTTCTGCTTTACTGAAGGGGAAAGTGGAGATGACACTGGAGGTCCTCAACGAGAGGGAGGCAGACGAGAGGCCAGCCGGGAAAGGGCGGAGTGAACCCAACATGAACCCCAAGCTTGACCCACCGAAGTGAGAGGCCTTCTTTGTTCTCTATGTTGTCTGGTCCCCAAACACCTGCAGTCCGAAAGCCCCCTTCCAATTGGCTTAATGGGCTGGATTAGCTGTTGGCTGTCTAATTTTGTTCACGGTGGGCTGTGGGGGATGGAGCAGTAGAGGCTGTGGTCTTGTTTTAACCATTCTCCTCCTCCATTAACGTTAAAGCAAAGCTTGACAGCATGTTAAGGAACTGGTGTGGGGACCTGACCGACTCCCAGCCTGCCATGAACGCTAACAAAAGAGGCATACCGTAGGAGACCCGGGAGGTGGTGGGGCATGGTAGAAGGCTGAAACTGATCGTTGAATTGTGTCTTGTCTCAAATTTATTAATTCACTGCTGCTGAACTGCTACAGTCTGGTAGACAATCCCTCATGAGTTAAGCAGGGAAACTATCTCTTGTGTTGCAGCCGACCGGAAACCTCCTTCCTCTGGTTCACGAACCCATGCAAGACCGTGCGCTTCATCGTATGGCGCCGGTTCAAGTGGGTGATCATCGGGCTGCTGCTGCTGCTCATTCTGCTGCTGTTCGTGGCTGTGCTCCTCTACTCCCTGCCGGTAGGAAGCCTGGGCCTCGACTTCGGCAGCCCTGTGGCTCCATTGCCGCTAGGCAGCCATCCTGTCACTTTGGAAACTCTTGAAAAGTTTAACACAGTATCAGGTGGTGGAGGGTACATCCTTAGGTTTTGTTACCAGCAGCTGGTATAGCGTGAAAACAAAACTAAAACCAGCCAAACAAACAAACAAAACCTTACTGGCTTTGAGAATTCTAGGAGAAACTCCGCAAGGCTTTATCAAAGTATTTGTCTAGATTCTAGGCAGTGTTTCCAGGTGACTTTACGCCTTCACACTTTGTGTGTGAGTACGTGTGTGTGTGTGTGTGTGTTAGGCATTTGTGTGCATGCTCTGGTATGGCTGTACTTTCCAATGCACATATGTCCAGAGGCCAGAGAACAATGTCAAGTGCCTTCATCATTCTCCACCTTACTTTTTTGTGATGGGGGTCTCTCACTAACCTGTTGGCTAGCCAGAGAGCCCTGAGATCCACTTGTCTGCTGTCTGTGCACCAGAGCCACCTTGCCCCGATATTATGTGGTTGCTGGGGATTTGAACCCAGGTCCTTGTGCTTGCACAACAAGCACTTTACCCACAAAGCCATCTCTCCAGAACGCTGCCTTCACCTTTCTTCTTCCAAATCGTCACATACACAAACTTCTGGTATAGGCACTGGTGATCCCAAAGGTCTCAGCAGACCGCACACTCCTGTGATCACATTTCATCTTTCAAAACCTTATTCTCTGTGGCCCATAGCACATATAACTACTCCTTAAATTTCTCTCAGTCACCTTATTATAAACAAGAGTCCAAACTGAAGGTTTGGCTGTATGCATACAGGCTGTCCTTTCATTCCTCCATTCAGGGAGCATCTAAGTAAAATACGGAGATGGGAAGAAACAGCCAAGGGAAGGCAGCATAAGCACACACTAGCAGTGTGGGCAAGAAAGTCTTAGAGCTCTCGGGACAGTTGACTTTTAAGAGCATCCCAAAAGCTCTTTCTCCAGCTCCCTTCCATTATGCTATAGATCCTCTCTCTTCTGAGTCTGTAGGCACAGTCACAGTAGCATCTGTACATATGTCTTTTATTTTCCCCTACAATGTCTTGACTATTAAAAAAAACCAGTTATTTCTTCATGATTTAAATTCTATTCATGTGAGCCGCTGTCTCTCTTGTTTGAGAACACGTGCAGTCACCCAGAGGATGTTTCTCAATGTTTAGAGATACCTGGAAGTCTTAGAGCACTCCATAGGTAGACGTCAGAAATGGCTTCGGCTGTCCGGTGAAGGCTGTCACGGGTCTGCCCAGTCACATTAAATGACAGCATGGCCGACTGAGAAGGTGCATATCTATGTATTCACACTGTTTCTGTTTCTCTTTCAGAACTATTTATCAATGAAGATCGTGAGGCCAAACGCATAATGAAAGCAAAGCCTTCAATCACCCAGCAATGAGGAACTCCTGCCTCATACACCTAAGGGTGATTTCAAGTCCAAGACTGCCTGAGGTGACTGCCCCAAGACACGTCAGCTCCGAGAGGGGCTAAATCCCAGAAAGTCAGACAGCGGGCAACATTTTTAACATTTTATCTTTTGAAGTATTAAAAACTTTCTATTTTCTAAAATTTAAGCATGTTTTCAGAGTATTTTTAAGGTGGCTGGTTCCATTTAAAACTGTCTTTTTATGTTCTCTGCATTCCATGATTCAAGTTTGGGAAATGACCGAAATGAATTTGAAACGCCTTGTATCTTAACATCGCATATTTCCTATTTGTAATCAAGAGAAAAGACTGCACTACAATGATGGGGAGCACGGCTACCGCAGTTCTTATCAGTGCCTGCCACCACTGATGTGGTATTTTGTCTGGACAAATGCTCTGAGACTCCTTGCAACCTCAGTGATGAGGGTAAATAAAAATATCTCACTTTGTACATGGATGTGTGTCCTCTATTCTGACTGAGCTGGGAGGGGAACAGGTTCGGTTTCCCTGGTCCGAGTGGGCAGAATGCCACAGCATTCCATACGCCCTTTACGAGCGTGCTGCCAACTTGGGCCGGTGGGTCCAATAACAAAGCTAGCGCTTACGAATAGTGTCGTAACAGCCTGCCGCCTTTTAAATGCTCTGTGTATATTACTCGGGGAATCTCAGAAATGTAGGCCACCAACACCATGAGCTCCGTTTTACAGTAGAAGAAATTGAGGGTCAGAGAAGGTAAGTAGCTGTTCCAAGGCCACACAACTAACAAATGATAGAGTTGGGATTTCCACCCCGGGAAGCACAGGTCTGCCACCCCCGGTTTATGTGGTGTTTCATGGATACTAGGCAAGCGCTCTGCCAGCTGAGGCACATCGGCAGCCTCTCTTAAGATCTCTTAAGCCAAAAAAAGACAAGTGAGAACGCTGTGGTTCGTACACAGAAGAGGAGCCATGGAAGTCGCCAAGGGTCCTGTTCAAACGACAGTTCAAGACGGAGGAGCGAGAAACAGTTCTACGTAGTTAGAAATGTAGACAGCTTGCGCTGCAAGGGAGAGCGCTGACCTCCCTGGCGAGGTGTTCCGTGGGCTTGATATTTTAATTCCCTCCAGTGTCCTGCCAACATTCCCAGCAGTCCAAGTGTACTCGATCACAACAAACTGAAGAAATGACAGCTCTGGCTGAACTGGCATGCTTATCAGCCGCCCCCCCTCAACCGAACACTTCCCCGTGAGTCTGCATGTGGCAGCCACCCTTGGGAAAGGCCACCCCTCCCATTCACTGGCAGAGCGCCTAACTGTAGCTTTTTCCTTGCTACCTAAACCTCAAGTGGTTCTTCAGCCTCAGACGCAAGCTGGTTACCTCAACCTTTCTAGAGAAATACAGGCAACAAATAAAGACCTAGAAACATCTGTGGCCTTCAACTCCCTAAATTCCACTCCTGAGTATTAACTCCAATGAAGCATTCAGAAGGGTAGAGGAAGGTCCACGTACAGAATCCACACAACTGGCTGTGAATGCCCCACGTACCCATTAGAAGGCAATGAATGGATAGATGGTAAGGATCCCGTATAGACTTAAAAATCTAAATTTATCTTTTCACAGGGTGCACATCCAGATAAAATAAGGTCTCGAAGAATGTATAGAATACACAGTAAAAATGCATCAAGGTGGTGCCAGCACAAAGAGTTTTGTGCCAAGTTTGTATGTGTACATACTGAGATTATGGTTTGTGAGGGTGGGCTGGCGTTGGACGTTGCTGTTGTGTTTTACTTGGTAGCCATGAGCTGTGGCTCATCTTCACAGCTGACCCGAGGCCCCTTGAGGAAGGAGACAGCACCTAGAACACCTGCAACTCCAGGGTGCCATGGGGCACCTTTGGATTTGCATGTTGGACCAGGTCTCACTCAGGCTTATGTTCCACTTGGCGGCGGAAATAGTGCCACCTCTAAGCTAAAGTGAGGGCGTTACGTGTCTAGAAGGTTCTCAGTGCAGGTGGCTTCAGTATCGCATTCAACTGATGGGAAGCTGGATGTCATTGTTCTAAATACGGGGCCAGGAATGGGTTCTCCTCCACCTCACGACCTGGAGCGTTACCCAGGACAGATTCAGAAGGAGGAACATGTGTGTAAGAATGCGTCTGCCTTCCCATGCTGCAGCTGCAAGACAGCGGGATGTCAAACTACAGGGTAAGAAGGGTACCATTCTCCTTACTACTCTGGGTGTACTACCAGCAGAGCCCTATAGGGGGCGCACTGGTGCATTCCAAACTTTAACCTAGAGCAGCCTACTACCCACAGGTGAGGCCCTTGGGGACACCTTGCCTTCCAACCTTTGGAGGCGTAGTAGACCCACACCCAGAGAATTACTTCTAACGCCGTGACAGCTTAGACCCTCGTTGCAGGTCCATGGCTTTTCATCTAATCTCAAGAGAGTATTTTTTTAAGGTGATACGTTCTTAGAGGGGGAAAGGGAGAGTCACTTCATGAAGAAAGTATTCATGGCTCCGGGTTATTTGAGGAGCTTCACAATTAGTATAGTACCGGCATGGCCCAGTCAGAAAGGTGGTCTTTAAACATCGTGATGGACACCGAGTATTTAACATTCTAGAGCGGCCAGCCATGGGGATTCACAGCACCATATTCTTCACCATGCCTCCCTGGGAGAACGCTTGCCAAGGAGGCAAAGAAATAGTGGCAGTGGAGTCTCTTCCTTGGCCTCGCCATACCTCTCTGGAGTCACTAAATGGCAGCAAAGCTCTGCTGGGATGAAATGATTCATGGGGAGCACTGGGCAAGGCTTTCTGGGTAGAAGACCTCTCCTTCCCCTCCCTCAGGAAAAAAAAAAAAAGCTTCATCTTGTCAAAAGATAATGGTCCCTCAGTTGAGGTTGTTAGTGGCCCGGTGACCTATAAATCACAGCTAAAGGCTGGAACTGATCCCCATCCAGTCAGATTGTCACTTCACTCTGAACTAAATAACACTCAGTCTTACCTGACTGTAGCAAGTGCTGCCGTTAGTACTTTGAGCTTTCATTAAGAAAATGAGCCTCAGGGCTGGAGAGATGGCTCAGAGGTTAGGCTCACAACCATCTGTAATGAGATCTGGTACCATCTTCTGGCATGCAGGTAGAATATTGTATAAATAATAAAGTAAATCTTAAAAAAAAAAAAAAAAAGAATCTCAGTCAGCACAGGAGCAGAGAGAACTGTGGAGATCCTGACAGTCTAACACTTGATTTGGTTTTGTTCTTTGCTCTTTTGTTTTTAGGTTAGAAAGTAAAATATGTCACCTTTAGACCTTCCTGTTGGTTATAGAGCTATGTAAGAAGTGGGCAAAGTTCTGAACTCCAAGACGGGGCAGAAAGGAGCTGGTCTGCCTGGTTTTCCGGCTGCTGGCCATGTGACAGACAGACCCATACCCCTCACTGGTGAGGTGTCTCATTTGACTGAAGCTAAAAAGTAAGAGTTCCTTCTAGAAACTTCTCTTTCAGTCCAGGGAGAAGAGAATCAGCAGCAGAAAGTACAAGCTGCCCACCATACAAAGAAACAACCTGATTTCAAAGTTTTAAACCCTCTACGTTGGATACTTTTTTTTTTTTTTTTTTTTTTTTTTTTTTTTTTTGCTTCTTTGGAGGAGCCAAATTCGTGGCAACCTCTGGACCATTAGCACGCAGCTTCTGCAGGCAGATGGGAATTCCATTCGGAGGGATGCTTTGTAAAGTCTGCTTGTGTGGAATGAGTTCATAATGAGTCAGCGCTGTAAAGAGATTAAGCGCCCACCATCCTTGCAGTTGAGTCTTGTGTTTGTTCAGCATTGAATGAGAACTCCCTAATCTTCCTTCAGTTAAACATGACAAGGTCCCATGGAAGATGAAAGGGAGGCCACTTTCCCCCTGGATATACATCCGTGCAGTGAAATGCCAGAGTTCATGCAGTTCAAGAAAAACACAAGAGAGGCATGTAGCTGGGACTAAGTTTGATGCCTAGAGAGTGAGGGACATAATGGGAAACACAGGCCTTTGTGTGCAGGGCCGTTCTCCTGACCAGGATGCAGGTTTCCAAGAGATGCTCAGCCCCCGGTTTTTAACCATCTGAATAAACTGAATAAGGTGTCTGTGTGTGTGTGTGTGTGTGTGTGTGTGTGTGTGTGTGTGTGTGTGGTGTAACTTTCGCTAATCTCAATCAAAAAGCAGAAACAGCAAAGAAAAAAAATCATAATTTTACGACTCCCTCCTAACATACTGAATGCTTCTAAGGGCAACCAGATTTTGCCAAAATTCATCTCAACTTCTCACAAGGACTCTTTCAGCCTTTGACTAGTATTAATGTACCACTTCCATGTATTTTCATAGCGTCTTAGAGCCAAACCTGTAATCCTCTCCCCTCATATTTCAGTGAAGTCCGGCCTGGGTAATTACCAGGAGGAGGACCTGGGATATCCAGCTGGACCCAGATGCGGCACGGCAGCCTCGCAGACGAGGTTTCACCTGGGTCAACGGGATAAACAAAATAAATGATGGAATCGTGTCTTAGAGCAGCGAGAGCAGGGGGCCAGGGGATTCCAGACGTCTGCAGGCCTGTGAGCTCAGCACAGCTGGGTCACAGCATAACCCCAAGAGTTGGGGCATCTCTCATAGGGAAGCGCAGTTCCCTCGCTGGGAAAGTGAACCCAGAGTTCACTGATCTTGTCTGTACTCACGCCGGTTCAGGCTTCTGCTTCTTTGTGATGCCGTTTTCCTGTATATGAAAAAAAAAATTTTTTCATAGGCTGTGAAGATAGAATGATTTAACATACAGAGACATTTGGGACAGAGTAAGTCCTCAGTGTTCTTTAGCCATCATCCTGGACAATACCTTCATCATGACTAAACAGAGCTGTTCAACAGATATAAGTCAGAAGTGACACATGTGACAAATGTGGCCATAGAGAGTGACACAAATATGGGCATGGTGGTGGGCCCATACCTAATTCCAGTACTCAAGAGGCAGAGAGGCCAGAGTTGAGGTCAGCCTGGGCTACTTAGTAAGATTCTGTCTCAAAGAGGCTAGTCATACAAAAAAAAAATCATTTCTATTCCAAGTGAAGCCACCCCAAGCTCTGACTGCACAATCCTAATCAAAGAAAGCAGGTAGGGTGAGGTGCTGCTCGGTGGTAGAATGTATGCTTAGTGCAAAGCCCTGCATTCAATCCCCAGCACAGTGAAAGGATAGAAGGAGGGAGGAAAAGATGAGAGGGAGAGAAGGAAAATGCACAGACTAGGACACCACTATTCCAAAACATTAAATATAGATGGTCCAAATAACCCAGCAATCTTACTTCTGGATATGTGTCCAGAAGAATAGAAACAGGGACTCAAAAACATTTTTATAGTCTTGCCGTGAATCATCAAAGGTGGGAGTAAGCTACCATGCACTGAATATCTGTGCCCACCCCACCAAAATTCACGTAATGAAATG